TTACAGGGATATGGCTCTGAATATATACAGTAACACCTCCCCCATAAGAATTTCTGTCTCTTCTATAGATGTTATATTCTTGTATTGCTACTGCTGTATCATCAAATGAATTATCTAAGTGAGTCTCAGAAATGGCTAATATATGAATGTTATCTGATGTTAGCATGTAACCCTAGCCCGAACCAGGAAAAACAGCCCCAGACCATTATTCCTCCTCCACCAAACTTTACAGTTGGCACTATGCATTGGGGCAGGTAGCGTTCTCCTGGCATACACCCCAGATTAGTCCGTCGGACTGCCAGATGGTGAAGCGTGATTCCTCACTCCAGAGAACGCGTTTCCACTGCTCCAGAGTCCAATGGCGGCGAGCTTTACACCACTCCAGCCGATGCTTGGCATTGCGGCTGCTCGGTCATGGAAACCCATTTCATGAAGCTCCCGACAAACAGTTATTGTGCTGACGTTGCTTCCAGAGACCGTTTGTAACTCGGTAGTGAGTGTTGCAACCGAGGACAGACGATTTTTACGCGCTACGTGCTTCAGCACATGGCGGTCCCGTTCTGTGAACTTGTGGGGCCTACCACATCGTGGCTGAGCCGTTGTTGCTCCTAGACGTTTCCACTTCACAATAACAGCACTTACAGTTGACTGGGGCAGCTCTAGCAGGGCAGAAATTTGACGAACTGACTTGTTGGAAAGGTGGAATCCTATGTCGGTGACACGTTGAAAGTCACTGAGCTCTTCGGTAAGGCTATTCTACTTCCAATGTTTGTCTATGGAGATTGCATGGCGGTGTGCTCAATTTTCTACACCTGTCAGCAACTGGTGTGGCTGAAATAGACTAATCCACTAATTTGAAGGGGTGTCCACATACTTTTGTATATATAGTGTATATCCTGATACCTAGTCACCTTACCCCTATACATATCTACCTCTATCACTCCAGTATACTTGCACATTGTAAATATGGTATTGGAACTGACTGTCTATTTATGTACAGTGAGTTCCAAAAGTATTGGGACAGTGACATATTTTATGTTGTTTTGGCTTTTTACTGGATTTGAAATGGTACATGACTATGACTTTTTGTACATAGTTCCCCCATTTTAGGGGACCAAAAGTATTGGGACAAATTCACTTATGTGTATTAAAGTAGTAAAATGTATTTGGTCCCATATCCCTAGCACTCAAAGACTACATTAAGCTTGTGACTGTACACAGTTGTTGGATGCATTTGCTGTTTGTTTTGGTTGTGTTTCAGATTATTTTGTGCCCAATAGAAATGAATGGTCATTCAGGACTATCTGTAATCATGGTAGCATCCACGTTAATGCAGAAGTGTTTAGATACATATTATATTCTTATTTATAATAAAAGTGACTCCAAAATGACAATACATTATTTACCATTAATTTGTATTGGGCACAAAATAATCTGAAACACAACCAAAACAAACAGCAAATGCATCCAACAAATGTATGGAGTCACAAGTACTCATTGCGTGCAATGAATATGGGACCAAACACTTAACTCTTTACTACTTTAATACACATATAAGTGAATTTATTTTTAGTATTACATTGTTATTGATTACTGCATTGTTGGGTTTAGAGCTCGCAAGAAAGGCATTTCACTATACTTGTGCCTTTGACATTAATACGTAAAATGTGGTGCTGAATCCCTCTGTTCCTCCCCTGCCTCAGTCTATCATTGAGAGAGCACTGAGGCTGGGGTGAAAGAATGACCTAACTCTGCTGGTCTGGTCAGTCCATGCCGTGGCACCCCAGGACTCTGTCGATGTATGCCTACCAAGGGGACGCTTAGCTTAGTAGATGAGAACACAATGTTATGGAGGACTAAAAGTGCCACAATTAAATAAATAAATACACCATTAAATAATTACTTAAATGTGTCATTAATTAATTAAAATTAGAATTAAATACATAAATGTGTTATTAAATGTGTCATTAATTAATTCAAATACCGATTCATTTTATGTAAAATACATATATAATAATTTCACTATTTACATTTACATTTCATGGTCCTGCGTTGGAGTGCTTCCTGAATTACTTAAAACTGTCAAACTGACCCATTTTAGTCCTCCATACAATGTGACCTAACCATCACCTTCTCATCAAGCAGCTCCTGTCGGTGGATGCTTGCTCAGACATTTCCTTTTAGAACTCTGAGCTAATATGTTGGGTTGACCTTCTGTAAAATGCACATGGTTTTGACGGTGTGGCAATTGAAGTGGTGGCATTTAAATGTCAGTTTCTGTATACAGTGAGTGTACTTTAAAGCTTGATTGAATCTGTTTCTAAGCTGTGACATAGGTAATCTAATCATGCTTTGGAACAACATTGTTACTAGTGTGTATTTGAAAATGTACATCACATGGAGGAAACATATGTTGTCTCTGAAATGTGGAAACTGACACAGCAGGACCAGTCCTCTCAGCTTGACCTAGTATCCCCTGCAATGTGTTGTTTGGCCATGTGGTGTCGGTAGAGGTTCACTGTTGTGGCGAGAGGAGTCCTCAGCTCTCATGCACACACACACACACACCATACATACCACACACTCTCGCTCTCTCAATTTCTAATGCAGACCACAGTGGATGTGTCAGCCAGGACTGCAGAGCTTTGATCAGAGTTCTGACAGACCAGCAGCATTACATTGACTGTGAGCTGAGATAGAAGAAGCACTGCCGTAGTGTAGAGCCTCAGCCTGTCCCCCTCAATACAGCAGCCTAGTACACACACACACACACATACACACACACACACACACCTGTCCCCCTCTATACATACACCAGCATACCCTAGGGTTTACACAGACCAACCGACGATGCAAGCCAAACAGTCGCCCATACAGCATACATCACTGTGGAGCGACTGCATTGCTAGGCAACCCCACCCCCACATAGGCACACACACACATGCACACTTAGGGTTTGACCTGAATGTAGAAAAGCTGACTGTTTTTCTAAAGCCTGAAACAGCTAGAATGAAAGTCTATTCAGATAAAGCTCTATTTTATGCTAACAGCATAATTTCTTATATAGTCCTTTATTGGCTTTGCAAGGCAGTGTTGATAGCATAATCTGAGTTCATTAGTGAGTTGTGTGACTTTGTCTGGACCAGCCATTTTGTTTGTCCCATGGGGGTTAATGGGAAGACTTTACTGCTGTAAAATTTTAATGAGCGTCCTAATCGAGAGGAGTGGAGGGGAGGAGGAGCTCAGGCCGGCCTGTTTAGAGTAACACAGGAGCCCATTAGGCTGTGAAAGTGCCACAGTGGTATGAATAAGTTATGTGTGGCACGGCAGCAGAGAGAGCAGAGCAGAACCCCACAACGACAAGAGAATCCACAGGCTCCAGTCTTTAACCCACCCGCACCTCCACCACGGTATATCTTTATAAGGCAAAGACAGGCCTGCCTGCTGACGTCCCTCTGCTGCTTCCTCTCTGTCTTTCTGTCTCTCTCTCAATCGCTCTCTCTCTCTTGCCATAGTGGGCGTCCGTCTGTGATCGAGCATTTTAATCTTTACATCTCTCTGTCTCTGCCTCCTCTGGCTCTCTGTTCATCTACGTATACCTCTCTCTCCATCTCTCTCTCTCCATCTCTCTCTCTCTCCATCTCTCTGTCTCTCTCGCTCTCCATCTTTCGCTCTCTCTACCTCCATCTCTCTCTCTCCCCTCTCTGCCTCCATTTATCTCTCTTTCAACACGTAGCAGTATTCATGTTCCAGTCATGTCCTATAAAGAGAACACATCTGCACCTCTAGGTTCCAGGGTGTGTAAAGCAATCATGGGGAGATGATGGATGAACCATTTGGCTTGTATTGTTTGGACCCTTTATTGAATGGCTCTATTTGAGCGTCACACAGTTGCCTTAGTCTTGTGTAATTGCAGAGACTAGAGCTATTTATAATTAATTTGTTATTAAGGCTATTATCTATTATTAATGGTTGTTTTAAAAGGGGCTTTGGAAACTGCAGATTCGATTTCATAACAATGAGGTGTGTAGCCACGATGGAAGTCTTGTTTTCCGCCATATTATCTCGTTACAAACAGAATGGTCTGGTGATTGACAGAGACATGGGCCACACAAAACAAGATACAATATACCCAAAGGTCAGACAGGGATACTCTTCCCATACCAAAGAGTATCCTTTAAAGGGCCCCGAGTTTTTCCTTACCACTTGAGCTTACAAATAAAACTCTGCCTATAACGAGGGGCCCAGACTATAACAAAGGACCAGAGTTTTTCCTTGCCAGGTTACAAAATCAGGGAAACTACATGAGAGAAAAGAGTGAGAGCCTTCATTTGTGAAACCAAGATGAGCAGTAGCCAGAAGTAGAAGATAATTGTTGTCCCAATGTCCTCTATAGAAGAAAGGAAGGGGACTGCTATAAAATAAATCTGGCCCAGGTGTCTCAGGTATCTCCTTCAGTCCTTGGCTGATGTGAGGTGTCCTTGACTCAGATCCCAGACACTGGCTCCTGGAGGCCCCAGCCAGCCCTAGGGCCAGACAGAGCATGGCAGCGAGACACTTCCTCTGCTCCTTGAGGCCCCAGACAGAGCATAGCAACGAGACACTTCCACTGCCACCTAACCCTGAGTTTCTGGTTGCTCCTCCAGACGTCTGTCAGGTTAGTAATCTTGTCCTCTGAGCGTGTGATAAAACATTCAGGGGCTCTCTGCTGGCTGTCTGGGAGCCTTGATCACCCACTGATTCATATTGCAGCAGGGGCCTGGCCCGGGGTGTGTCACTTTTTCCATGGCTTCTGAGGATGGGCTTGAAGTAGCTAAAGAGGAGAGATGAGTGTACACTACGCATACACACAAGTGCGCACACGCACACACTCTAAAGCTTGAGCATGAACTTTAACCCTAGGTGGGCTGCATTGTGTAGTCTTATCCCGACCAGCGGCAAGGCCACAGTGTGTGTACAGAATACAGCATAATGAACTGTGTTTTATTTCCTTTCTCCAGGTCTGTGTCTAGAGAAAGTCCCGGCTGCGTCTCCGTCCCTGTCCAATCGTAACATGGACAAAGACCAAGAAGTGATTACCTGCTATGAGAAGTCTGGAGACATCGCCCTGCTCTACCTACAGGAAGTAGAGAAGGTAACCTAGCAACCGGCTGACATTGGCTTTACTACTGGATGTGTTGACGGGAGGGAGAAGCTGGAGATGCTCTAATCACTTTGACCAAACCAAATCATTTTCAGGGGATCTAGGCTAATAGTAACAAAATGACGAACCCTCTTTTAAAATGACAGTTAAGATGCAATACCAAATAGCGAAGACCAAGGCCCAGCCACCAGTAACTTAACTAATGTTCTCGGATAGTTGCTGTTTGACCTTTTAATGAATAGATATCCTTCCATGGTGTCTTCAATAAGCGGATTGGACTTGGCTGTAATTAATAAATTAGTTAATTGATTGGATTTATATAGGGCTTTTTCAGTGCTCAAAGCGGCAACCATTTTGTGCCAGAACGCTCACCACACATCAGCTAATGTTTGGGATTTGGATCTGCCTGTGTGCTAGTGCAGTAGTGCAGTAGGCCTATACCCCATCTGTAGTGCTGGTGTCTGTAGTATTAGTACCGTAGTGGTGGAAGGGGGCCAGGTCCATCAGGCAGGCAGGTCCTGGAGCTGTTCCAATCTCCAGCAGCAGATCGATGCAGCATCGACAGACTGGCCCAGGGTTTGATGATCTTGTTTTCTGACCTTGGCTGCTGTTTTAATCAGCAACTTTTTTCTCCACTCTGATTTGTTCTGCCAACAGGTTTTTCCCCTACATTTGTTTTTCTCTCTTTCTGGGTGCTCTGTGTTTCTCCCTCTCTGTTTCTCTCTATCTCTCTGCTCGCTCTCTTGCTGTCTCTCCCCCCCCCCCATTCTGGTTTGTCAAAGATAAAATTGGTTGTCACATTTTGCTGAGTCATCACTTGCCATTGTCTACAATGCATTATGAAAATGTGTCTAAAGCTTGGTAGAAGATGCTCCAAAACAATCCAAACCAACTCATATAACATCACAATCCCATTCTGAATGATGTCTCTGCACTCAATTTTAGAAATGTTTTTCCACAGTACCATAAATCCATGTATGAATGATGCTGTTAACAACAACAACAACGACAACAACAACAACAACAAGATGCAAATATGGATTTATGGGACAGTGGATTTTTTTTCTAAACATTGAGTGCCAAGACATCCATAATGGGATTCTAATGGCAAGTGATGAATCAGCAAAATGTGACAACTGATTTCCTCTGTAACAAAACCAAATAAAAAAATGTTTTAAGCATTTGGGGGATCAACTACAAGCACAGAAAGAGTGGAAATAAGGCCATGTAAAAATGGGTGAGCTTCCTCTTTAAGTGGTTTATAGATGGCCGGTGTCCTTAGTTGATTCATTTGGCCCATTTTGGGCTCATGGTGTCATTTTAGTGACCAAGCCTCCGGATAGAGCTGTGTTGTTGTTCCAAAATGTCATGAAACTGAATCGGCTATTTGAATTCAATATTGAAACTCTAATCTAGTGGCATCGATTCACTCCCCCAAATAGCCAACCCCCCCAAATAACCCTCCGCCTCCCTGTAACTGAACCAGCAGCTGATTCCATCCAGCATGCAAAGAGACACTGGTACAACACCCAGGAGATGAATAGGTCAACAGCACTACAGCCAGGTGTTGATCTTGGGCCTATTTATCACTCCTGCTCATCTCCACACCAGGCTAGTACCACTTTGTTCTGTTCTGCTCTGTTCTGCTGGCTTACATAAGGCTGGGCTGCTATAAGCTCTCTGCCTCTCTCTCTCTGCTTTTCTCTCTGCCTCTTTTTCTGCCTCGCTCTCTCTCTCTCTCCCTCTCAGTCGATCATGTGCCAGGCAGGCAGCACAAGGTACTGTGAGGACACTAGCTACCTGCTGCTGGATGAAATGATTTCATCTGTTTGACAGACAGGGAGGAGAGGAGAGTTGGAACACAATGGGGCCCGTCTGGTTGGACTGATGGAGAGAAAATAGGGAGAGGACAGGCATAGGAGGGTGAAGAGAGGAGAGGGGGATGGTGAGAAGAGAGGAGCAGCCATGGTTCTTTCATCTGCCCACTCTCCTCTTCTCTCTCTTTCCTTCTAGTCCTATTATTATATCATGTTATCTTGGTTGTGTTTTCTTATCTCTCTGATTATCGCTCTGATTGGAGCGTTAGGCTGATTTTATGTATTGTGTATACAGTATGATAATCTATTGTTTTTTTGTTTTTTGGGGGGTAGATCAGCTTTAATATTGCAGATAGATTGTAACTTCCATCAATGTAATTGTCTGCATCACTTCCAATCCCCCATATGTTTTTATTTCTCGCATATATATATATATATATATATACAGTGGGGAGAACAAGTATTTGATACACTGCCGATTTTGCAGGTTTTCCTACTTACAAAGCATGTAGAGGTCTGTAATTTTTATCATAGGTACACTTCAACTGTGAGAGACGGAATCTAAAACAAAAATCCAGAAAATCACATTGTATGATTTTTAAGTAATTCATTTGCATTTTATTGCATGACATAAGTATTTGATACATCAGAAAAGCAGAACTTAATATTTGGTACAGAAACCTTTGTTTGCAATTACAGAGATCATACGTTTCCTGTAGGTCTTGACCAAGTTTGCACACACTGCAGCAGGGATTTTGGCCCACTCCTCCATACAGACCTTCTCCAGATCCTTCAGGTTTCGGGGCTGTCGCTGGGCAATACAGACTTTCAGCTCCCTCCAAAGATTTTCTATTGGGTTCAGGTCTGGAGACTGGCTAGGCCACTCCAGGACCTTGAGATGCTTCTTACGGAGTCACTCCTTAGTTGCCCTGGCTGTGTGTTTCGGGTCGTTGTCATGCTGGAAGACCCAGCCACGACCCATCTTCAATGCTCTTACTGAGGGAAGGAGGTTGTTGGCCAAGATCTCGCGATACATGGCCCCATCCATCCTCCCCTCAATACGGTGCAGTCGTCCTGTCCCCTTTGCAGAAAAGCATCCCCAAAGAATGATGTTTCCACCTCCATGCTTCACGGTTGGGATGGTGTTCTTGGGGTTGTACTCATCCTTCTTCTTCCTCCAAACACGGCGAGTGAAGTTTAGACCAAAAAGCTCTATTTTTGTCTCATCAGACCACATGACCTTCTCCCATTCCACCTCTGGATGATCCAGATGGTCATTGGCAAACTTCAGACGGGCCTGGACATGTGCTGGCTTGAGCAGGGGGACCTTGCGTGCGCTGCAGGATTTTAATCCATGACGGCGTAGTGTGTTACTAATTGTTTTCTTTGAGACTGTGATCCCAGCTCTCTTCAGGTCATTGACTAGGTCCTGCAGTGTAGTTCTGGGCTGATCCCTCACCTTCCTCATGATCATTGATGCCCCACGAGGTGAGATCTTGCATGGAGCCCCAGACCGAGGGTGATTGACCGTCATCTTGTACTTCTTCCATTTTCTAATAATTGCGCCAACAGTTGTTGCCTTCTCACCAAGCTGCTTGCCTATTGTCCTGTAGCCCATCCCAGCATTGTGCATGTCTACAATTTTATCCCTGATGTCCTTACACAGCTCTCTGGTCTTGGCCATTGTGGAGAGGTTGGAGTCTGTTTGATTGAGTGTGTGGACAGGTGTCTTTTATACAGGTAACGAGTTCAAACAGGTGCAGTTAATACAGGTAATGAGTGGAGAACAGGAGGGCTTCTTAAAGAAAAACTAACAGGTCTGTGAGAGCCAGAATTCTTACTGGTTGGTAGGTGATCAAATACTTATGTCATGCAATAAAATGCAAATGAATTACTTAAAAATCATACAATGTGATTTTCTGCATTTTTGTTTTAGATTCCGTCTCTCACAGTTGAAGTGTACCTATGATAACAATTACAGACCTCTACATGCTTTGTAAGTAGGAAAACCTGCAAAATCGGCAGTGTATCAAATACTTGTTCTCCCCACTGTATATATATATATATATATACAGTTGAAGTCAGAAGTTTACATACACCTCAGCCAAATACATTTAAATTCAGTTTTTCACAATTTCTGACATTTAATCCTAGTAAAAATTCCCTATCTTAGGTCAGTTAGGATCACCACTTTATTTTAAGAATGTGAAATGTCAGAATAATAGTAGAGAGAATGATTTATTTCAGCTTTTATTTATTTTATCACATTCCCAGTGGGTCAGAAGTTTACATACACTCAATTAGTATTTGGTAGCATTGCCTTTAAATTGTTTAACTTGGGTTAAACGTTTCGGGTAGCCTTCCACAAGCTTCCCACAATAAGTTGAGTGAATTTTGGCCCATTCCTCCTGACAGAGCTGGTGTAACTGAGTCAGGTTTGTAGGCCTCCTTGCTCGCACATGCTTTTTCAGTTCTTCCCACAAATTTTCCTTCCTCATAATGCCATCTATTTTGTGAAGTGCACCAGTCCCTCCTGCAGCAAAGCACCCCCACAGCATGATGCTGCCACCCCCGTGCTTCACGGTTGGGATGGTGTTCTTCGGCTTGCAAGCATCCCCCTTTTACCCTCCAAACAAAACAATGGTCATTATGGGCAAACAGTTCTATTTGTGTTTCATCAGACCACAGGACATTTCTCCAAAAAGTACGATCTTTGTCCCCATGTGCAGTTGCAAACCGTAGTCTGGCTTTTTTTTTGGCGGTTTTGGAGCAGTGGCTTCTTCCTTGCTGAGCGGCCTTTCAGGTTATGTCGATATAGGACTCGTTTTACTGTGGATATAGATACTTTTGTACCTGTTTCCTCCAGCATCTTCACAAGGTCCTTTGCTGTTGTTCTGGGATTGATTTTCACTTTTTGCACCAAAGTACGTTCATCTCTAGGAGACAGAACGCGTCTCCTTCCTGAGCGGTATGACGGCTGCGCGGTCCCATGGTGTTTATACTTGCGTACTATTGTTTGTACAGATGAACGTGGTACCTTCAGGCGTTTGGAAATTGCTCCCAAGGATGAACCAGACTTGTGGAGGTCTACAATTCTTTTTCCTGAAGTCTTGGCTGATTTATTTTGATTTTTCCCATGATGTCAAGCAAAGAGGCACTGAGTTTGAAGGTAGGCCTTGAAATACATCCACAGGTACACCTCCAATTGACTCAAATGATGTCAATTAGCCTATCAGAAGCTTCTAAAGCCATGACATCATTTTCTGGAATTTTCCAAGTTGTTTAAAGGCACAGTCAACAGTGTATGTAAACTTCTGACCCACTGGAATTGTGATACAGTGAATTATAAGTGAAATAATCTGTCTGTAAACAATTGTTGGAAAAATTACTTGTGTCATGCACAAAGTAGATGTCCTAACCGACTTGCCAAAACTATAGTTTGTTAACAAGACATTTGTGGAGTGGTTGAAAAACGAGTTTTAATGACTCCAACCTAAGTGTATGTAAACTTCCGACTTCAACTGTACATATACATACATACATACATACATACATACATACATACATACATACATACATACATACATACATACATACATACATACATACATACATACATACATACATACATATACATATATATATACATATCCTTTAAAAATATATATTTCCCTTTATTACTTTCCAAACCCACGACCCCTTCCTTAATTGGAGTACACTAGTGAACAACAACGCTTAGGCCTCTACTTCCAGCTTACACATACTATATACATTTTATGGACACAGTCAATTTTACAATAATTATATTTTGTTTGTTTTTACTCCTGAACTTCCTCTACCCTCAACCTCTCCGATCATTTTCATGATGTCCATCCGGTTTGCTTCTATATGCCATTTCTTTCTAACTGTGCTCTTTCACAAAAGCTCTCAACCTATAACCTATATACTTATTATGGACACAGTATGCTTTACATTAGTTATCTTGTTGTTATTAGTTGTTGTTAGTTTTTATTAGTCCCATCCTTCAGCTCCATTCAACACCTCCCATCTATCTCTTAACACCATCCTTATTGGATTTCTATTTGCCATATATTTTTACTGTACTGTGATGTTTCACAAAAGTTCTGAACCCTTCTATTCTCATTGTTTCTACAGATTGTAAATTGAAAATAAACATTTTTGCTAAAAGTATTATTATATTATTGATCGATTGACTATGACTTTTCAGATCACCCAGTAGTGCTATCTGCAGGGTTAGCTCCAGGTAAATATTGCAATCCTTCAGCCATTCCTGGACCTATGACCAAAAACAAGATACAAATGGACAGTATCAAAACAAATGATCTAATGATTCTGTCTCTTCGCAGCAAAATCTGCAGAGCTGGGAAGATTGTATCCCCCATATGAATAACACTCTATTGGTAGCAAGAATTTTGTATAATAATTTAAATTGAAAAATTCGAAGTGTTGAATCCGGCGTCGTTTTGCGTGTCAGTTCATAAACACTATGCCATGCAATCGGTAAGTCAAAAATCTCTTCCCAACTATTTTGCAATCTATATGGGACGGCTGTCAATCCTTTGGTCCTTAAATGAAACTGTTCCTTACTTTTTCCCCCTTCCACTTTCCTCTTCCATTTTTGCGGTAATGCTGCAATTATTTGGTTGTAATTTTGGGTAGAGCAGACATTTCCATATGTTTTTGTTAGCTGCATGTGCGACAACTCCACCAGTCCTACCTATGATATCATTTACGAAGATTATACCCTTTTTAATTTTTTTTTCAAAAAATAATGTTTTTTTTAATCAATTAGTATATTTGAGTTTAACCACTATTTGTTGCATTATTTGTTCTGTCGTTTCTGGAGGATTAAAGTGAAATTGCAACCAACTTTATATGGCTTGTTTTAGAAATAGTGATATTTGGGAGATTATTTCCTTTTCAAATAACTGAATGTGAGAGGTTGTAATCTGAATTAAGGGGTAAAAGGCCATTCTTGTACATGGGGTGAGACAATCTTACTAATTTGCTAGAGAACCAGTTTGGATTTAAGTATAACTTTTGTATGACTGAACTTTTAGTGATAGGTCTAATGCTTTAATATTTAATAATTTCTGTCTTCCGAATTCATTTTCATTATATAAATAGGCCCTGTTTAATTTTGTCTGGCTTCCTGTTCCAAATAAAATGGAATCTTTTTTTCTCATAGAATTTAATAAACTGTTTGCTAGGCGTAGGCAAGACCATAAGCAAATAGGTATACTGGCATAATACTAAATAATTAATCAGATAGATTTTTCCACAAATAGACAGGTATTTAATTTAGCTAACTTTCTATTAAAATGTATTGGAGTGAGATCGTTTATTTCATTTGGGATATGTATTCCGAGTATATCCACATCACCATCAGACTATTTTATTGGTAAACTACATGGTAATGTAAACATTGTATTTTTTTTGTGATCCAATATGTAATATAGTACATTTATCATAATTTGGTTGTAATCCAGAGAAGTTAGAAAATGTATCTAGATCCTCTTGAGGCTGTGGAGGGATTGAAGTTGTGGGGAAAAAAAAAAACATGAATCATCAGCTTACAATGACACCTTTGTTTTTAAGCCCTGGATCTCTAATCCCTTGATATTATTGTTGGATCTGATTTTAATAGCTAACATTTCGATGGCCATAATAAATAGATATGCCGATAGTGGACAACCTTGTTTTACTCCTCTTGACAGTTTAAAACTTTCTGATAAATAGCCATTATTTACTATTTTACACATGAGATTCTTCAAAATTGAAATGCTCCAGGCATTTATATATAAACTCCAGTCGTACTTTATCAAATGCCTTTTGAAAGTCTGCTATGAATAGCAGGCCTGGATTCCCAGATTTTTCATAGTGTTCTATTGTTTCCAGTACTTGCCTTATATTATCTCCAATGTATCGTCCATGTAAAAAACATGTCTAATTAGAATGAATAATGTCCGACAATACCTTTTTTTATTCTATGCACTATACATTTAGCTAGAATTGAAGTGTAAGGGGCCTCCAATTTTTTAAATGGACTGGATCTTTATATTTCCCACTTGTATCCTGTTTCAGTAATAATGAAATCAGACCTTCTTCTTGAGTGTCTGATAATCTACCATTTACATAGGAGTGGTTAAAACATGCTATAATAACGGTCCTCTGAATATATATCAAAAAAGGTTTGGTATACCTCGACTGGTATGCCATCCAACCCTGGAGTTTTCCCGGGCTTAAAGTCTTTAATTGCATCCAGAAGTTCCTCCTCTGTAATTTCACCTTCACATGAGTCTTTCTGTATGGCTGTTAATTTTACATTATCAATAGAAAAAAAATCCCTACAATTAGCTTCAGTGAGAGGAGATGGAGGTGACTGAAACCAAAACATATGCTTAAAGTACTTTGCTTCTCTTGATATAATCTATTGTTAATGCCCAATGTGATCACTAGGCTGACTTTGTTCTCTGCGTCTTCAAGCGTCCACAGCAGACTGATCCTAGACCAGTGTGTTACCTGTGCTGTGTGTTTTGAGAAGTGGCTCCAATGTTCCAGACCCTGTTCTCAGGTCAGTTTTGTGTGTTTCAGGCCCTCAGTTCGGGGTTGCAGAACCGCAGTCCAAAGCCAGGCCCAGTGGCCCAAGAGCAGGAGCTGGGATACTTCCTGGAGACTGGACTTCAGAGGGCACATGTCATCCACTTCAAAAACGGGTAAGAGAGAGAGAGAGAGGGCATGTTTGTGTGTGTGTGTGTGGAATACTCCTACACTGACATCTAGGCTGGTAATAATAATTATCACTAACCCACTGTGTGTGTTGCTCCTCCACTGTCACTCTTCCCTGCTCTCTGCTCCACACTCTTTCCTCCAATCCAAGGGTCTGTTTGTCTCAGGACAGATAGTAGGTATTCCTCCTCTCCTCTCTGCCCTAGAATAGCACAGTGTGTGGGTTACAACCCCCCCCCCCCCCCCCCCCCAGGGTGGGATGGAGCCTGAAGTCCATAGCTGCTGTGGTTTGATCTAGTTAGCCATAGTTTGGTACCTGCCGGCAAGCTCCCCTGTAGGTTAGAGCAGTAGCGTGTGTGTGACTAGCTAGATCTGTTGATATGGAAGTAATGCTCCTAGGATGTGGTGGTAAAGCTCTGTGTGTTTGTGTGTGTGTGCTGGCTGTGTTTCAATCAGGATGATGACCTCCTCCCTCTCGTAGCCCCGCCCCCATACTGACATCATGACCTCCACTATCCCAGCATGCTTAGAGCTCATCTCACAACCATACCTAGGTTGCATCCTAAATGGCCAAGAGCCTATAGGGCTCTGGACAAAAGTAATGCACTTGATAGAGAAAATTGTGCCATTTAGTATGCACACCTTTTCTTAAACCTTTTCTTAATCGCTCCTTTTACAATTGTTCAATTCCCATACATTAATTATTTATCTCTCATGGAAGTTATGTGGAACTTGATCTTCTCATTTTAATACAGCTACATATTAAATCCACCATTAAATTCTCCTCAAGCACCCATCCTTACCACAGTCTGCCTGGAAAACACTTGTTGTGTCCCAAAGGGCACACTATACCCTATATAGTGCACTACTTTTGATGAGGGCCCATAGGGCTCTGGTCTAAAGTAGTGCACTATATAGGGAATAGGGTGCCATTTGGTACACAATATAGGGAATAGGGTGCCATTTGGTACACACGCAATGTTATAGAGCAAGGTCGATTTTTCACTTGGAAAATAGAGGAAACTGCTTCCCACTTCAAAGCAAGAGAGAAGAGATAAAAAGAAAAGGCTGCTGCTGAAGCGAATAGTTAATAGATGATGCAACATGGTGTCTCTCATGTCGAAAGCGTCATATCTTCACCTACACTCAGCCTCCCCCTCCACACAGCTCTCTCTCGCTCACTCTCACTAATAAAACAACATAGGACATACACACACACACACTGGTATAGTGGTGGAAAGACATATACACCACACACACACTGGTATAGTGGTGGAAAGACATATACACCACACACACACTGGTATAGTGGTGGAAAGACATATACACCACACACACACTGGTATAGTGGTGGAAAGACATATACACCACACACACACTGGTATAGTGGTGGAAAGACATATACACCACACACACACTGGTATAGTGGTGGAAAGACATATACACCACACACACACTGGTATAGTGGTGGAAAGACATATACACCACACACACAGTTTACACACACTTCCCACAGCATTTCAAGTGGGAAGGTGCTTTTCCTGTCATCGAATGCCAATGCTAAAAAGGGAACGTCTTCAGTAAATAGCCAGCTGCATACATGGCTAATGTGTAAACTGTGAATAGCGGTAATTTTCTGTGGCTAAGGGTGTCTGCTAAGCTCATGAATAATGCAGTAGCATTCCTGCCTGTGAATCTCGTGCTGCTCTCTCTGCTCATATATGTTTGAGGATCCAAATAAAAACAAATCTTACAGCATTTTTTATTATCATTATTTTCCCTCTTTGTAAAGTGGTCAAGCATGGTTGTAGTGTATGAGGAGGATGTCTTTTGTACTGGGCATGGCACAAGGCAATTCTTCATACTATGCCTTTAATAATATGTCTTCATAACAATATGCCTTTATTGAAGTGTCATGTTAAATAGAACAGATAAAAAAGAATCTTGGCCTTAGTCAGGGAGTGATTTCTGATTTCCTACAGAGGAAAAGGTTTGGTTGGTTGGATAAGAGTCTGTCTAGCGTACAAATGAACTAACTGGATGGATGCAAGGGTTGCGTCCCAAATGGTACCCTAGTTCTATATAGTGCACTACGTTCGACCATAGGCCAAAATCAAAATTAGTGCACTACATGGGGAATAGGTTGCCATTTTGGACAAATACATGGTCTGTGCTTCCTCACTTCTTATTAGCAAATCAAGTCTTAGAATGCTGCAGTCATGCAATTACTCCCCCCCCCCCCCCCCCACACACACACACAGATTCCTTCCTGCCTATCTCCTTACTGTCAGTGCTGTATTGATTTGAGCTGATTTATGAAAATGAGGCCTGACAGCAAATACGCATTACGCCTTTGACGCCCTCATTTGCCACCACGTTACACACACACACACACACACACACACACACACACACACACACATAAGCCACCAAGGATTCTGATGTACTCCCATGTAATGAACACCCGCGCCAAGCATACCAATGAAAGACCGCAAAACCTACCCACCACGTTAACACACACTATAAGAAATTGCCTAGTTTACTCATGACACACACACACATACAAAGACAATCGACCAAAACCAAAGCTAGCTTAGCGTCTGTACATTACACTTTTTCAGAAGTGTACATTGGGGTTCTAGTGTGAGCGGTGGTCAAGCTGTCGGTTAGCTCTACAGATATGTGACGTGGCAGTCACTAAGTGAAGCTGACACTTTGCTCTCTCTCCCCCACCATCACCCGCCTGTTCACCACACATTTAGATGGAGCTATTTATTCAGCATTTTTCTGCTTCTATTTGCACTTCCTCCTCCGTAGCCTGGGGCTGTATTCTGTTTTCCTACCCTCCTCTCTTCTCCCTGGTCATTGGGACAGGAAGATAGGGGGAGGAGCCACTTGGAACTGGGCCGTTCTCTCGTCTGGTGTTACCGGGCAGTTTAGCACTCGGAGCTGAACCCTAGTCAGCAGCTCTCCAAAGTTAGTGTGACTCATCGATAACACAACAAATGCTCACGTGCACATAAGATACTTTCTTGCGTGACGAACATAAACACATCACCATCCCATGATGGTGTGATGCAGTCAGATAATGCATGTGAAAGGTGTGTGCTTGTGCGTGTGTGTGTTGTCAGTTCAGTGGGGGAGTGTTAGCTGAGTAGGTGTGTCAACATTGCAGTGTGTCTGATCCATAGAGAAGTGTTGAGCCATGGTATTGACACCTCCCATCAACTGACTCCCTCACACACTAATGACCATACCAGCTCAGTGACACACAAGCACACACACTGATATGCGCATATTCACTGTTATTTATAGGAAATCTATGTTTGTAAAGGTCTATAATTCTGAGGACAGAGATTTTCTCAGAATAATCTATTTTCAGCATGGTCTGTATTCGGTATGGGTACAATATTTACATTTTTAGTCATTTAGCAGACGCTCTTATCCAGAGCGACTTACAGTTAGCGAGTGCATACATCATTTCATACTGGCCCCCCGTGGGAGTCGAACCCACAACCCTGGTGTTGCAAGTGCCGTGCTCTACCAACTGAGCTACACGGGACAATATGTATCCACACTATCACTACTATATATAATATGTATCCACACTATCACTACTATATATAATATGTATCCACACTATCACTACTTTATATAATCTGTATCCACACTATCACTACTATATATAATATGTATCCACACTATCACTACTATATATAATCTGTATCCACACTATCACTACTATATATAATCTGTATCCACACTATCACTACTATATATAATCTGTATCCACACTATCACTACTATATACACTGCTCAAAAAAATAAAGGGAACACTTAAACAACACAATGTAACTCCAAGTCAATCACACTTCTGTGAAATCAAACTGTCCACTTAGGAAGCAACACTGATTGACAATACATTTCACATGCTGTTGTGCAAATGGCATAGACAACAGGTGGAAAGTATAGGCAATTAGCAAGACACCCCCAATAAAGGACTGGTTTTGCAGGTGGTGAACACAGACCACTTCTCAGTTCCTATGCTTCCTGGCTGATGTTTTGGTCACTTTTGAATGCTGGCGGTGCTTTCACTCTAGTGGTAGCATGAGACTGAGTCTACAACCCACACAAGTGGCTCAGGTAGTGCAGCTCATCCAGGAGGGCACATCAATGCGAGCTGTGGCAAGAAGGTTTGCTGTGTCTGTCAGCGTAGTGTCCAGAGCATGGAGGCGCTACCAGGAGACAGGCCAGTACATCAGGAGACGTGGAGGAGGCCGTAGGAGGGCAACAACCCAGCAGCAGGACTGCTACCTCCGCCTTTGTGCAAGGAGGAGCAGGAGGAGCACTGCCAGAGCCCTGCAAAATGACCTCCAGCAGGCCACAAATGTGCATGTGTCTGCTCAAACGGTCAGAAACAGACTCCATGAGGGTGGTATGAGGGCCCGACGTCCACAGGTGGGGGTTGTGCTTACAGCCCAACACCGTGCAGGACGTTTGGCATTTGCCAGAGAACACCAAGATTGGCAAATTCGCCACTGGCGCCCTGTGCTCTTCACAGATGAAAGCAGGTTCACATGTGACAGACGTGACAGAGTCTGGAGACGCCGTGGAGAACGTTCTGCTGCCTGCAACATCCTCCAGTATGACCGGTTTGGCAGTGGGTCAGTCATGGTGTGGGGTGGCATTTCTTTGGGGGTCTGCACAGCCCTCCATGTGCTCGCCAGAGGTAGCCTGACTGCCATTAGGTACCGAGATGAGATCCTCAGACCCCTTGTGAGACCATATGCTGGTGCGGTTGGCCCTGGGTTCCTCCTAATGCAAGACAATGCTAGACCTCATGTGGCTGGAGTGTGTCAGCAGTTCCTGCAAGAGGAAGGCATTGATGCTATGGACTGGCCCGCCCGTTCCCCAGACCTGAATCCAATTGAGCACATCTGGGACATCATGTCTCACTCCATCCACCAACGCCACGTTGCACCACAGACTGTCCAGGAGTTGGCGGATGCTTTAGTCCAGGTCTGGGAGGAGATCCCTCAGGAGACCATCCGCCACCTCATCAGGAGCATGCCCAGGCGTTGTAGGGAGGTCATACAGGCACGTGGAGGCCACACACACTACTGAGCCTCATTTTGACTTGTTTTAAGGACATTACATCAAAGTTGGATCAGCCTGTAGTGTGGTTTTACACTTTAATTTTGAGGGTGACTCCAAATCCAGACCTCCATGGGTTGATACATTTGATTTCCATTGATAATTTTTGTGTGATTTTGTTGTCAGAACATTAAACTATGTAAAGAAAAAAGTATTTAATAAGATTATTTCATTCATTCAGATCTAGGATGTGTTATTTTAGTGTTCCCTTTATTTTTTTGAGCAGTGTATAATCTGTATCCACACTATCACCACTATATATCATCTTTATCTACTATCAGTGCTTTGAAAAAGTATTTGCCCCCTTTCTAGTTTTCTGTACTTTTACATATTTTTTTATACTGAATGTTATCAGATCTTCAACGAAAACCTAATATTAGATAAAGGGAACCTAAGTGAACAAATAACACAAAAATTACATACTTATATCATTTATTTCATAAACAAAGTTATGCAACACCCAATGCCTCTGTGTGAAAAGTAATTGACCCCTTACACTCAATAACTGGTTGTGCCACCTTTAGCTACAATGACGCCAACCAAACGCTTCCTGTAGTTGTTGATAAGTCTGTCACATCGCTATGGAGGAATATTGGTGTAAGGTTCTTAGTGTGGAATGCAGTGTTTGGTTTTCGCCAGGCATAATAGGACCCATGTCATCCAAAAAGTTATACTTTTGACTCATCTGTCCATAGAAAATTCTTCCAAGAGTTTTGATGATCATCCAGGTCCTTCCAGGTGCTTTTTGGCAAACTTGAGTCAACTTTTTGGACGAGATGGGTCCCATTTATGTCTGGCGAAAACCAAACACTGCATTCCACAGTAAGAACCTCATACCAACAGTCAAGCATGCTGGTGGTAGAGTGATGGCTTGAGGATGCTTTGCTGCCTCAGGACCTGTACAACTTGCCTTAATAGAAGGAACCATGAATTCTGCTCTGTATCAGAGAATTCTACAGGAGAATGTCAGGCCATCCGTCTGTGAGTCTGAAACTGAAGCGCAGCTGGGTCATGCAGCAAGACAATGGTCCAAAACACACAATCAAGTCTACATGAAAATGGTTAAAAAGTAACACATTTGAAGTTTTGGAATGGCCTAGTCAAAGTCCAGACCTATTCCCATTTGAGATGTTGTGGCAGGACTTGAAACGAGCCGTTCATGCTTGAAAACCCACAAATGTTGCTGAGTTAAAGCAGTTCTACATGCAAGAGTGGGCCAAAATTCCTCCACAGCGATGTGAGAGACTGATCAACAACTAGGAAGCATTTGGTTGCAGACATTGCAGCTAAAGGTGGCACAACCAGTTAGTGAGTGTAAGGGGGCAATTACTTTTTCACATAGGGGAATTGGGTGTTGCATAACTTTTTTAATTAAATAAATAAAATAAGTATAACTTTTTTTGTTATTTGTAAACTCAGGTTCCCTTTATCTAATATGAAATTTTGGTTGAAGATCTGATAACATTCAGTATCAAAAATAGAGAAAATCAGAAAGGAGCAAATACTTTTCACGGCACTGTATATCATCTGTATCTACTATCACCACTACATATCATCTGTATCTACTATCACCACTACATATCATCTGTATCTACTATCACCACTACATATCATCGGTATCTACTATCACCACTACATATCATCGGTATCTACTATCACCACTACATATCATCTGTATCTACTATCACCACTACATATCATCTGTATCTACTATCACCACTACATATCATCTGTATCTACTATCACCACTATATATCATCTGTATCTACTATCACCACTATATATAATCTGTGGCCTCAGATTTCCAGTACATTCCTCCATACTTTAGAGACAGATGATGACATAATGATATTTGTTGTTGCCGCAGTAATCTGACCCGGGGAGTGGGCCGCTTCCGGGAGATCCTCCGAGCTGTAGAGACCAGGACCACACAGAACCTACGAATGGTGGGTACTAGTGTGTGTCTGTGTGCAGTGTTCCTCCGTGTGTGTGTGCCTGTATGTGTGTGAGTGTGTGCTTGCCCGCACGTGCACCCCTGTGCTGTAACACTGTATATGTGTATGTGTTTCCCTTTGTAGACCATAGCGCGACAGCTAGCAGAGATCCTGCTGAGGGGGATGTGTGAGCAGAGCTACTGGAGTCCTCTGGAGGACCCTCCCAGCCAGTCCCCCCTGGACGACCCTCTACTACGCCAGGGAGCCCCCTACACCAAGGACTACGCCCTCAGCCGCAGGCCACGTGTCTACTCCGGAGAGAAGTACGGACCAACCTCTGTCTGTCTACTGTCTCTCTCTTTCTCTTTTCTTCTCTCTCTCTCTCTCGCTCGCTCTGGCTGTCTTTTTCACTACTGTGTTGCATTAGAAAGCCCTTTCCAGACTTTAATTGATACTCTCATAATACTAGCCTGTGTACAGACAACACAATCCATGTGTGTATCTACATTGGCAAAATCTGACACTCCTAGGCAGCTTACGTACACATGAAAATCCCATGTTACGCTGGCTTGTAAACCAAGCTGAGCTGACTGTGGTGGTTTTCAGGCACTGTCTCTACAATCGGTTGCTAACTATCTCTCCCTCTGTTTCTCTATTGCCCTCTCTTTCCCTCTTGCCTCTTGCCCCTCTCTCTCTCCTCAGTCTGTTTTGTCCACAGGAAAACACAGAAGAGGCTCTGCTCCTGTTGCTGATCAGTGAATCTATGGTAAGTCTACATACACACCTTTTATCCCTCTATCCTGGCAGGTTGATTCATCTTTCAGGTCACATACTTTTTCAACAATAAAACAGAACTCCCTTTGTTCTAATGTTGATGCATTCAAAGTTAATTTATTTTTTCTCTCAGTCACACCAACTGTTTAATTCAGTAGAGTTTCCCCATCACACTCCAAAGGCAAGGCAAAGCAATGCATTGAAGTCCATGTTTGGAAGCCCTACTTTTTCATCTTTTTTTCCTTTGGTCCATTAGTTAAAAGGGTGTTAGATTTCCATGCTGTTAGCTTTTCCCTTCTAATGGGTGCTTATAAAATCAGGGGCCCCAATCATCCTGTTTTCTGCCCAGTCAAACACAACACTCGTCTTTCTACTCTTCTCCTCACCACACACACACACACCACATGTTTTACTATCCTTGTGGGGACCTAAAATTGATTTCCATCCTATTTTTCCTAACCCTAAACCTCATCCTCTAAATCTAACTTCTAATTCTAACCCTAACCCCTAAGCTTAAAATAGCGTTTGTCCTCGTCAGATAATTTTCCTTGTTTACTATCCTTGTAGGGATTTCTGTTACCCCCCCATTATGATGTGTGTGTGTGTTCTCCATGCAGGCCAACAGAGATGCGGTGCTGAGCAGGATTCCGGAGCACAACAGTGACCGTATCATCAGTCTGCAGAGTGCCTCTGTGGTCTACGACTTGCTGACCATCGCCCTGGGCCGACGGGGACAGTACGAGATGCTCTCTGAGGTGAGGACACACATACAGTGCATTCGGAAAGTATTCAGACCCCTTGACTTTTTCCACATTTTGTTACGTTACAGCCTTATTCTAAAATGGATTAAATACATATTGTTCCTCATCAATCTACACACAATACCCCATAATGACAAAATGAAAACATTTTTTGGTGAAAGTTTGGCAGTGCATTTCATGAGCAAAAACTTAGCTATGAGTTCGAAGGAATTGTCTGTAGAGCTCCGAGACAGGATTATGTCGAGGCACAGATCTGGGGAAGGGTACCAAAACATTTCTGCAGCATTGAAGGTCCCAAAGAACACAGTGGCCTCCATTATTCTTAAATGGAAGAAGTGTGGAACCACCAATACTCTTCCTAGAGCTGGCTGCCTGGCCAAACTGAGCAATCGGGGGAGAAGGGCCTTGGTCAGGGAGGTGACAAAGAACCCGATGGTCATTCTGACAGAGCTCCAGAGTTCCTCTGTGGAGATGGGAGAACCTTCCAGAAGGACAACCATTTCTGCAGCACTTCACCAATCAGGCCTTTATTGTAGAGTGGCCAGACGGAAGCCACTCCTCAGTAAAAGGCTCACGACAGCCCGCTTGGAAAGGCACCTAAAGGACTCTCAGATCATGAGAAACAAGATTCTCTGGTCTGATGAAACCAAGATTAAACTCTTTGGCCTGAATGCCTAGCGTCAAGTCTGGAGGAAACCTGGCACCATCCCTACGGTGGAGCATGGTGGTGGCAGCATCATGCTGTGGGGATGTTTTTCAACGGCAGGGACTGGGAGACTAGTCAGGATCGAGGGAAAGATGAACGGAGCAAAGTACAGAAAGATCCTTGATGAAAACCTGCTCCAGAGCACTCAGATTGGGGCGGAGGTTCACCTTCCAACAGGACAACGACCCTAAGCACACAGCCAAGACAACACAGGAGTAGCTTCAGGACAAGTCTCTGAATGTCCTTGAATGGCCCAGTCAGAGCCCGGACTTGAACCCGATTGAACATCTCTGGAGAGACCTGAAAATAGCTGTGCAGTGACGCTCCCCCATCAAACCTGACAGAGCTTGAGAGGATCTGCAGAGAAGAATGGGAGAAACTCTCCAAATACAGGTGTGCCAAGCTTGTAGTGTCATACCCAAGAAGACTTGAGGCTGTAATTTCTGCCAAAGGTGCTTCAACAAAGTACTGAGTAAAGGGTCTGAATACTTATGTAAATATGATATTTCAGTTTTGTATTTTTATTAATACATTTTAAAACCTGTTTTTGCTTTGTCATTATGGGGTATTGTGTGTAGATTGATGAGGGGAAAAAAAACAATTGAATCAATTTTAGAATAAGGCTGTAACGTAACAAAATGTGGAAAAAGTCAAGGGGTTTGAATACTTTCTGAATGCACTGTATATATACACACACACACACACACACACACACTTATCCCACACTTATACACACCTATCCCCTAACCGCCCCATCAGTAACCGTGGGAACACTTGAAAAGGCCCACAGGGACCAATCACGGCCTATAGTTGCCCCGTTGCCCTGGAAACCTTAGCTGGCACTCTTCGTTTACCGTGTCTCTGGAACCAGTAGCCGGAAGCCGTCCTGGGGTCCGGTCGATGGCTGAATGGATCTAATCTCATTGATCTGAAGGCCCTCTGAAGTCCATCCCTCCATCCCCCAGCGCTGCTCTCTCTCTCTCTCTCTCTCTCTCTCTCTCTCTCTCTCTCTCTCTCTCTCTCTTACTGAACAAGAGATAAAGCACTCACTGCAGGAACTCCAAGACACTGCTACAGTTACTGCAGTCATCAGAAACACTAGTCCAAAACACTTTTAAAAAAAACTTTCTTTCTCCTTGAGAGAGATAATTGTGTTGATCAAGGTTGTGAAAGCAGAGAAAGCCAATGGTTTGGCTTGTGAATACAACAAGCAGCCTGAGGGAGTATTTTGTGCCAAGGCTCTGTAACTATGGTCTTGAATTATCAACATTGTGTTGTCTGTCTCTATGTCTGTGTTACCCCTGTGTCTTAAAATGCTGCTCTTACTTAGTAATCTGCCTGTACTGAAACAGGCAGATGTTTGCTTGTCTTTCTCTGTCCTCAGGCTTTCCTAAGTGTGTGTGTGTTACACTGCCTTTTAATCTGCCTTTGATTGTTCTGCCTGGGCCACCCTGCCACCCTGTTCAATTAAAGCTCTTTGTCTGTGATTAGTCCATGAGAGAAAGACAGAGAAAAGCTCTTTATTTCAATGGATTCTTGCAGCTATTACTTTATGGACCAACTTATTAGACGGTAGGACTTCACTTGGGAGGTGTTGGCAGGAAGTGGCGGAGCATTGTAATTGGTTCTCGGTTGGAGCTGTGAGCCACTGATTGGATCTGAGGGTTGATCTAAATATGTCTCCCTGCCTGGCACTTAGCCTTGTTCCTCGAGGTGATGGAGTTTTTAACGTGTGAAGAAAGGAAGGCGTTGCTTCTGCTTAGCACACTCTGGTGTCATTCTCCGCTCTGCTGTCTGCTCGGCTCACAACTAAGAACTCCTAGCTCTCCCGTTGTAATTTAAGGCTCCAAAGGCTGTTCAAATAAAGCCTTTTGTGGGTTTGACTTAGAAACCCTCAAATGTATTTATTTGACCAAACAGGAAATTATGTGGTTTTCCTGAGTAATGTTGAATTCAGGTATTTCCCTATTTTAATTGACATGTAAATGTGATATCAAGTGAGTGTTATTGACCTCTGACCTTTGTCTTGCGTCGGCAGTGTCTAGAGAGGGCCATGAAGTTTGCCTTTGAGGAGTTCCATCTCTGGTACCAGTTGGCCCTTTCACTGATGGCTGCAGGGAAGGTAAGTCTGACATCACTATTGTGACGTCATGCATATTTCATTTATGTACAGCGTTACTCTGTGCTTCACCGTGTGCGTGTGTGTGTGCAGTCGGCCCGGGCGGTAAAGGTACTGAAGGAGTGTATCCGTCTGAAGCCGGACGACCCAACCATTCCCCTGCTAGCCGTCAAGCTGTGCATCGGAGCACTCCATTGGGTGAGCGACAACAACAAGCCCAGCAATGGCCCTCACATATCTCTCATAGAAATCATTACATTATTTGTCCTATATGATTAACTTTCTGCATTAAAAGACTTGAATAATCTCTCTCTCGTTCTGTCTAGCTGGAGGAAGGAGAGTGTTTTGCTAAGATGGTGGTGGACATGGGAGAGAAGGCTTCAGAGTTCCGAGCTAAAGGTTACCTAGCCATCGGCCTGGTGTACAGCCTCAAGGCTACAGACGGTGAGGGACCGCTCCCACTTTCAGCCACTGACATCATACAGTATTCCACCTAGGGCCAGGGCTCTGTCTCAATTGCTTAAAAACATGTCCTCTCCTCGTCTCCCCCCTTTCATTTGCACTGATTGGATGGGTAAAAACAATGGTGGAAAATCAGTAGCATTGCTTTCATCTGCTCAGTTCTTTTAGATCAGAGGCGTGAGGTAAGGAAAGGAAGGATTTTCAAGGATTGTTAATCTGACATGACCATAACACATTAATGTCCACAGTTATCAGTCACACCTCACCCAGACACACTAACAGCCACTGACTATCTCTGGTGTATGACCGTCCTACATTGCTCTCCTCTCACTACCACATTTAGCTTATCTCCACTGTAACATATTGCGTACACAAGCTGAATATTTATGACTTAACGTAGCCTAATGTAAGCACCCTTCCCTTCCTCCTCCTGAACCTAATCACTCTCCTTTTGTTTCTCATTCTCTTGCTTTCTCTCAATCTCCTTTCTCTCCTCCCGTCTGTTTTTCACTCCATTTCCCTCTCTCTGTCTCTCTCGATTTCACTCACCCTTAAATGCTCACTCAATTTATGTGGCTCTCCCATATGCTGCCTTCTCTGTTCTCTCCTCTATTTTTACACCTTTCTCTCTCTTTTCCTTTTTTCTTTCATCTCTCATATCTCCTCTCCATCTCCCACCCTCCTCACCCCCTTCCTGTCTCTCTCTCTCTCTCTCCCTTTCTCTCTTTCTCCCTACAGCGTCCCTACGGGGGATGCAGGAGGAGTATCAGAGGAAGGCCCTGGGTGCATTCCAGAGGTGAGTCCCCGTCCCTCTCCGTTTTTAAAGAATTTGGCGATATATATTTCCCTGTCCCCCATCCCCTCTATCTGTGTCTCCCTGCCCCTGCTGTCTCTAGTGGAGGTGTCGTCTGACACCACTCTCCTTGTCCCCTGTACCCCTTCCCATCCCTGTGTCTCCTCTTTCCTGTTCCTGTCTCTGTCCCTGTCTCTGCTCCCCTCTGGGGCCTCTCGGCCTGACCCTGGCTCCCGTAATGGAGGTAGAATCTTCCTCAGTCTCACACAACTCTCCTGACACATTAACTATGCAGTGGTATAAAAGAGCCTGTTTAAGCCTTTCACACAGAGATCGTTTGGAGAGAACCATGTAAGCCCAACTCAAGTGGTTTGGGGCAGGCCAAGACAAGACAGGGCAGGGCTGGGGGAGGCTGGTTCAGTAGGGGATTGGATGGATGGATAACGCACCCACTCTAGGTTAGTCCCCTGGTGGTCCCAGTGTAATAGGACCTGATACTGTAAGATAGCGGTTGAAAAAAATCCCAGTGAGTGCATTCATTTCCCTGCTTTATGATACTGCAAGCAATCCACATTCTCAGTAGCAGTCATGCAAGTATATATCTTTTTTTATAATGCCATAGTGGTGCCTGCTGATAGTATTTGAAGGACACTTTGTACCTACTCACTCACTACTCCTCATCTCTGTTTCAGGGCCCAGAGCTTGTCCCCCACAGACCACCTGGCTGCCTTCTACCTGGCCCTGCAGCTGGCTGTGTCACGGCAGGTAAGGCCTGGACACACACTGGCTCAAAGTCAGGATGGGACTAATAAGCTTCTCTGCATGTTGGAGCTGGTCTAGCAGCACTGATACTCTCTGTAGATAGATGTGTGTGTGTGTGTGTGTGTGTGTGTGTGTGTGTGTGTGTGTGTGTGTGTGTGTGTGTGTGTGTGTGTGCCTGCGTGCGTGCGTGTGTGTGTGTGTGTGCCTGCGTGCGTGTCCGCTCAGTGCTTCAACCCCCTATGAGGTAAAGGTGCTCATCTTTCACACGGGTCAATCTAAGGTCAATGTAAACTCTCTCTCTCTCTCTTTCGCATTTTCTCTCTTTCTGTCTGTCTGTCTGTCTCTCTCTCTCTCTGTGTCTCTCTCTCTCTCTGTGTCTCTCTCTGTGTGTGTGTCTCTCTCTCTCTCTCTGTGTGTCTCTGTCCTCTCTCTCTCCCTCCTGCTCCTTTCTCTTAGTCGTCTCTCCCTCTCCTCTCCATCATGTACTTTGTCTCTTTCTCAACTCTATACTCTTCTCTATATCCCCCCTCCCTGGGTCTTTCTCCTTTTTTCTCTTTCCTCTCTCTCTCTGTCCTTCCTTTCTCTCTCTCTCTCTCAGAGAGAGAGAGAGAGAGAGAGAGAGAGAGAGAGAGAGACTGTTTCCATGGCGATAAAGACCCAAATAAAGTGTTGGTTTGAGACACGGAAATAATGTGACGTTAAAATAGATTTTAAAACAATGAGACGGAAATGTCAAGGGTGGTTTTCTGACGGGAGCAACATGTTAGAATGTCACCGGCAGGTCTGGAGAGGATAGAGAGGATTGTGAATTGGAATTACATTCAGTGACAACCATTGTACTGTATTATAAAACCCCCAGGTGCCTCTAATACCAAATATAGTCTCTGATTACTTTCCATCTGTTGGCCAGTATTGATTCACACACACAAACATACACACACAAACTCACAGCTAACATATACCATTGATTTTCGGAAGTGGAAGACAGACAAATGTGAAGGACCTTATATTGGTCATTACCGGGTAGATGGAAGCAGGTGATAACGAGTAACTGCTTTCTACCGTAACATTAGTCAGATAAAGAGTTCAGATGTAATAGGGGTTAAGGTTAGGGTATCTATATCCTGCTGTCCTCTCCAGCATGGCCAGATAGCAGCACCCCTGGCTGTGGATGACTGGTGGTGTATGTGATCCGTGTCCTCCGTGTGCTGTAGATCCCGGAGGCGCTGGGGTACGTGCGTCAGGCTCTGCAGCTGCAGGGAGACGACGTGCACTCTCTCCACCTGCTGGCTCTGCTGCTGTCGGCCCAGAAACACTACCACGACGCTCTCAACATCATCGAGATGGCCCTCAGCGAGTACCCCGAGAGCTTCATGTGAGTCTGGAGTCTGGCCTTTCTCCACAACAGACACACTCTCATACTCACTCTTAACTCCTCATACTCACGCAGGCCATCACAGAGGCATTAGTCTACAACATTGGCGCTGGCATGTGAACAAACACATTAACCAAAGGATCAGTCAGCATGCCACTCTGCTCAGCGTGTTATTTACATTGTCCTGGGCATCAGAGAGGTCAGCATCTGGCATCCTTAATTAGACCAGTGTGATGACTGGGGTGGGGGTGGGGGGGTTGCGACCAAGAAGGGCAGAGGGAGCAGGCAGTGGGTACGGCATGCCAGCCATCCACACTGACACACACACACACACACACACACACACCCGCACACAGATCTGCTTGGTTATTTTGGCAGCAGAGAGAGACAGCAATTAATTGTATTTTTAGAGCTGTGTGTTTGTTACAGATAGAAAGCACAGAGTGCTAGCTATACAGAAGATTTCTGGGTTGCTTTTTCCTTTGCCGCCTCCCCATCTCCTCTCCTCCTCTCCTCTGTCTGATGGTTAATTTGTGCACAAACCCTTCCCCTCTCACACCCCTGACTCTACGTAACTCTGACAACCGAATTTTTTTTCCTCTTTTCCCTGCTCTGTTTGTTTCCAGTGTTTGAATTTCACAATTTCTAATAGATTTAGCCTGCTGTACCCTCAGGGTACCACAGTATTGGCTTCTGTGCCTCGATATCTCTGCCTCAGCCACTTACATAACATTAAAAATAACACACTTTTTCATTTTCCAATTTTTTATTCTTTTTTTGCCCTGTTTTTTCACGAGCTTGATTGAGCTTCGGCTTTCCCTGGGGGAGAGTGAAGTGTGTGTGTAAAAACATGATGCTGAATGGTGTGAATATGGTGTGAATATGTACAGTGCCTTTAGAAAGTATTCATACCCCTTGACTTTTTCCACATTTTGTTGTGTTACAGCCTGAATTTAAAATGGATTAAATTGACATTTTGTGTCACTGGCCTACACACAATACCCCATAATGTAAAATTGGAATTATGTTTTATAATTTTTTTAACAAATTAATTACAAATGAAAAGTTGAAATATCTTGAGTCAGTAAGTATTCAACCCCTTTGTTATGGCAAGCCTTGTTATGCTTGACAAGTCACATAATAAGTTGCATGGACCCACTCTGTGTGCAATAATAGTGTTTAACATGATTTTTGAATGACTACCTAATCTCTGTACCCCACACATACAATTATCTGTAAGGTCCCTCAGTCAAGCAGTGAATTTCAAACACAGATTCAACCACAAAGACCAGGGAGGTTTTCCAATGCCTCGCAAAGAAGGGCACCTGAATAAGCAGACATTGAATTTCCCTTTGAGCATGGTGAATTTATTAATTACACTTTGGATGGTGTATCAATAGACCCAGTCACTACAAACATACAGGCGTCCTTCCTAACTCAGTTGCCATTGTGGAAGGAAACCGCTCAGGGACTTCACCATGAGATAAATGGTGACTTGAAAACAGTTACAGAGTTGAATGGCTGTGATACTGAGGATGGATCAACAACATTGTAGTTACTCCACAATACTAACCTAAATGACAGAGTGAAAAGAAGGAAACCTGTACATTCACCTTTCAGCAGGTCAATAACCTAAAACACTAGGCCAAATATACACTGGAGTAGCTTACCAAGATGACATTGAATGTTCCTGAGCGGCCTAGTTACAGTTTTGACTTAAATGAAAATGGCTGTCTAGCAATGATCAACAACCAACTTGACAGAGCTTGATGAATCTTAAAAATAATAATGTGCAAATATTGTACAATCCAGGTGTGTAAAGCTCTTCGAGAAGATTTACAGAGAAAGACACAGCTGTAATCGCTGCTAAAGTTGATTCTAACATGTATTGACTCAGGGGTGTGAATACCTATGTATTCAAGATATATTAGTGTTTTTTGTTTTTTTTACAAATGTGAGTATTTTTCTACCACTTTGACATTACAGAGTATTTTGTGTAGATCGTTGGAAAAAAAAGACAAATCTATTTTAATCCCTCCTTGTAACACAACAAAATGTGGGCAAAGTCAAGAGGTGTGAATACATTTACATTTTAGTAATTTAGCAGACGCTCTTATCCAGAGCGACTTACAGTTAGTGAGTGCAGACATTATTTATATATTTTATTTTACATACTGGCCCCCCGTGGGAATCGAACCCACAACCCTGGCGTGGCAAACGCCATACTCTACCAATTGAGCTACATCCCTGCCGACCATTCCCTCCCCTACCCTGGACGACGCTGGGCCAATTTAGAATACTTTCTAAAGGCACTGTAAGTGTGTAAAAACAGCTGTAATGGTGTACAGAGAAGATTCAAGGCATGCGGTTTGTTGCACATTCACATCACATTCCTGCACATAGTACATCCTGTCCATCACACACACACACACACACACACACACACACACACACACACACACACACACACACACACACACACACACAGAGCCAGGGGTGGGGGGGGTGTATGTTGGGATGAGGAGGAGATGAAAGGGTGATGGTAAGGTCATGTTTGTGTTGTGAATGGGCTTCATCATTCACTTAGATGAATAGATTCTCATTTACATCACCGTGCTGCACTGGGAGGAACGCAATAGCCTGGGAGAGAGGAGAGAAGGGTGGGGTGGGGGTGGGGGGGTCTATAAATGGAAACTTAATTCACACCACCCCCACCACACCAGACCAATGGAATTTTTTCTCTCTCTCTCTCTCTCTCTCTCTCATTCATTCATTCACTCACTCACTCACTCACTCACTCACTCACTCACTCACTCACTCACTCACTCACTCACTCACTCACTCACTCACTCACTCACTCTACTCTCTCTGGGAGCGAATTAGCGTCCACATAGGCTTTCATCAAACGCTACTCTTCTCTTCTCTTGGTGAATGCACCCCTCCTCCCCTACTCGATCTCCTCCCAGGCATCCTAGAGATAGAATTCTAATGCTACTCTTTGAAGATGTAGTGTGTAGCAGGGGGTGAAGGGTGCTCTCCTCTCTCTGCAACCTCACAACATTGTGTACACACAACTTAGGTACTGGGTGGAAAATACTACATTTCTCCCACACAACCTTTATTACAACAATGTTTTTATCAGAGTTGCATCCTTATAAGAGTTGCATCCTCTGGTTAAGAGCGTCTGCTAAATGACGTAAATGTAAATGTAAATGTTATAGAGAGTTGCAGAGAGTCCACTCTGTAGATAACTGTTTGTCCCTGTGTTTTAAAGTGTGTCATCCTGTGACTCAAACTGCGTCTCCTGGGTGTCTCCCCTCAGCCTGTTGTTCACCAAGGTGAAACTGGAGACGTTGTGTCGAGGACCTGAGGAGGCTCTGCTCACCTGCAAACACATGCTGCAGATCTGGAAGTCCTGTTACAACCTCACCAACCCCAGGTACTGTATAGTAGTACCCATTACACAGGCTACATGTTCTGTCCACTAGATAGAACGGAACTGTGGATGAAAATAGCAGTAAAACATGTTGGATACAATACCTTTGCAACCTGCAGTATTACAAACCACCTTCAGGAATTATATGCTGTATAATGTAGTGTTTTGGAATATCAGAAATGGACAAGTGAGTGAGACTGGTCTGAGTCTGGGGCCAAATGTGCATTATCCCTATCTCCTTTGTAAATATGTGCTCCAACTTTAGCCACAATCTCCTGCAAAACACTGGTATTAACTATCACGAGAGATCGAGCACCACTGCTTCCCTGATTTTATCCATGGCTTTTTAAGATGCTTAAAATAATCCACTAAAGCTTTACTTAGAGAAACACAGGCCTGAGAGCAGAGTACTGTCATGATCGTCGGATACTGAGGACCAAGGCGCAGCGTGGAAGGTGAACATATTTATTAAATAATGATTACACGAACAAAAACAACAAATCGAGACGTGACGTCCAAAGGTGCAAAAACACAAACCTACACAGGAACAAGATCCCACAAACACTGTGAGAAAACTGGCTGCTTAAGTATGGTTCCCAATCAGAGACAACAAGCAACAGCTGATACACGTTGCCTCTGATTGAGAACCACACTGGCCAACATAGAACTACAAAACTAGAACGAAAAACAAATGAAAACTCACACCCTGGCTCAACATACTAGAGTCCCCAGAGCCAGGGCGTGACAAGTACTGGAAAGCACTTTGTATCTACTATTGATATAAAAAGGGCTTTATAAATACAATGTTGATTGATTGAGCTAAATAATGTATTACATCACTAGACTCCTGTCGTATCGAGTGAGTGGTGGCAATTATTGCTGATGAACAAAAGGAGTCTGCTCATACTGAACGTTGATCATAAGGTTTATTCAGACCACAAGCTTCAGCATGAGTGACAGGTGACATGACACCCGGAGAGTGACGCCTCAGAATGGCTGCTCGTTCTGCCCTCTCCTTCGTTTTCCCCCCTATTTATAACAATGATGCTCCCTCTTCTGGCCAATCACCAGTCTCCCCGGGGGCGTCACCCTAAAACATTCCCTTTTGATACTAACATAAACAACATTCATTGTTCCTCCAAAACAGTCATAATGTTAATACACCACACTCCCTTCCTTACTGTTGCTGAATCTCATCTAGTCATAACACAAATTCTCCAGAGTGTGTCCCAAATGGCACCTATTCCCTAGTTAGTGCACTACACTATGGGCTCCTGTCAAAAGTAGTGAACTACAATATGGATATGGTGCCATTTGGGACAAAGCCCATCTGCAGCTAATGGTAGCCATGCAGCAGAGAGAGAGCGAGTCAGTGTGGACAGATCCTCACCTCAAGTCAGCCTCTCGTCGTTAAACTGGAGAAGTTTTACAAGACCAATTACAAGAAACCAGACAACTCTCCTCCTGGTGCACTGCTGCACCCCCACTGTGTATACTCGCTGGTCATTATAGATGGTGAAATAGCGATTACCTCAGCCAAAACCTACAGGAGGGAAATATACCGGTAGCTAACAGATTGCTGTGTGAAAGTTCGTCAGGAGCTCTGTTTTATGGCGGTTCTTCTGTCTCGCGTTTTGAGTTTTACTGCCTCTACGTGCGTAGAAGTTTCCCATCAATGCTGTTGAAATATACCGGCCCGAACAAACAACAGAACAGAACTGGACTCTGCACTCTCCTTTCTCTCGTGGCTGTGATTTCCTGGATATGACAGAATGAGTAGAAAGACTTAGGAGGTCAGACAGGGACCAGTATTACACCCAGACCAATGCCGCATAGTGTTTAACTGTCCCTGTGACATTTGACTAGGGGATGTCTCCAACTTCATGACTATCCAGTCCATCATCATTCTTCTGTTTCATGAACTAGATTTTGCACTAAAGTCTTTGTAGCAGAGGCAGACCCAGTCCGCTGCCTACTACCTTACCCCTTCCTAAACTTGGAGCGTTGCTCTTGGTTTCATCACCCATCCCATGCAGTAACTGTGAATCTTACCTAAGACAGACAAAAACACAGCTCTTAACCTGTGCAGTTGTCATGCTAAGAGGATAGATGGGCAGAGACGTTTTTTTAGGAAGCTTAGCTATCTAGTTGGTGTTTTACCTCTTTTCTCTCTCTGTCTGTGTGTCTGTCTGTGTGTGTCCAGTGATTCAGGTCGAGGCAGCAGCCTGTTGGACAGAGCCATAGCAGACCGAAGGACGCTCAATGCCATGACGCTGCCTGACTTCAGTGATCCAGAGACGGGTAAGTCTCACCTCACTACCACTACCTCACAACCATAGAGAAATGGAGAGGAGTTATAAAGCAGAACACTAGCTTACCCCAGGACACTTAACATTTAGCCTGAGTGTCAGTCTGTTTGTGCCATCATGCCAAGTCCTTGTCACTCATAGCCACGTCATTGGCTTGACAATGACAGCAGTGGAGTTGGCAGGAGAACAAACAGATACAGTCAGTTCCATAAATATTTGGACATTGACCAAGTTATTATTATTTTAGCTGTCTAACACAGCATTATGGAGTTGAAATTAAATAATGAATATGAGCTGAAAGTGCAGACTTTCGGGTGAATGGTGTAGGAATTACAGCACTTTTTATATGTGGTCCCCCCTTTTTAAGAGACCAAAAGTAATTGGACAATTGGCTGCTCAGCTGTTCCATGGCCAGGTGGGTGTTCTTCCCTCATTAGTTCATTTACAAGTAAGCAGATAAAAGTTCTAGAGTTGATTTCAAGTGTGGCATTTTCATTTGGAATCTGTTGTTAACCGTCAATATGAAGTCCAAAGAGCTGTCACTGCCAGTGAAGCAAGCCATCATTAGGCTGAAAACTCAAAACAAATCCATCAGAGAGATGTCAAAAATCAACTATTTGGTACATTCTTAAAAAGAAAGAATGCACTGGTGAGTTCAGGAACACTAAAAGGCCCGGAAGACCATGGAAAACAACTGTGGTGGATGACAGAATAATTATTTCCCTGGTGAAGAAAAACCCCTTCACAACAGTTGGCCAGATCAAGAACATCCTCCAGGATGTAGACGTATCTGTGTCAAAGTCAACAATCAAGAGAAGACTTCACCAGAGTAAATGCAGAAGGTTTACCACAAGATGTAAACCATTGGTAAACCTCAAAAACAGGAAGACCAGTTTAGAGTTTGCCAAAAAACATCTAAAAAAGCCTGTACAGTTCTGGAAAAACATCCCATGGACAGATGAGACAAAGATCAATGTGTACCAGAATGATGAGAAGAGTATGGAGAAGGGAAGGAACTGCTCATGATCCGAAGCATACCACCTCATCTGTGAAGCATGGTGGAGGTAGTGTTATGGCGTGGGCATGTATGACTGCCAATGGAACTGCTTCCCTTGTATTTATTGATGATGTGACTGCTGACAAAAGCAGCAGGATGAATTCTGAAGTGTTTCAGGGCTATATTATCTACTCAGATTCAGCAAAATGCTTCAAAACTCATTGGACGGCGCTTCACAGTGCAGATGGACAATGACCCGAAGCATACTGCGAAAGCAACCCAATGCGTTTTTTAGAGGCAAAGAAGTGGAATGTTCTGTAATGGCCAAGTCAATCCCAGTCGCTGGCCTTGCTGCTATTCCAGTTTCAACTGTTCTGCCTGCGGTTATGGAACCCTACCTGTCCCAGACCTGCTGTTTTCAACTCTTAATGATCGGCTATGAAAGCACTGAGATTATCCTGATTATTTGACCATAGCTTGTCACTTATGAACATTTTGAACATCTTGCATGGTTTGTTATAATCTCCACCAGCACAGCAGAAAGGATGGCCACCCTCATAGCCTGGTTCCTCTCTAGTTCTCCTAGGTTTTCGCCTTTCTAGGAAGTTTTTCCTAGCCACCGTGCTTCACACCTGCATACTAGCTGTTTGGTTTAGGCTGGTTTCTGTACAGCACTTCGAGATTAGCTGATGTAAGAGGGCTATATAAAATAAATGATTGATTGAATCACCTGACCTGAATCCAATTGCAAATGCATTTCACTTGCTGAAGGCAAAACTGAAGGTAAAACGCCCCAAGAACAAGCAGGAACTGAAGACAGCTGCAGTAAAGGCCTGGCAGAGCATCACCAGGGAAGAAACCCAGCATCTGGTCATGTCTATGGGTTCCAGACTTCAGGCAGTCATTGACTGCAAAGGATTTTAAATCAAGTGTTAAAACTAACAATTTAATTTATGATTATGTTAGTTTGTCCAATTACTTTTGAGCCCCTAAAATCAGGGGGCTATGTATAAATTTTTTGTAATTCCTACACGGTTCATACAATAATTTTGACAAAACCCTTAAATTAAAGATGAACGTTAACACTTAAAGCACATCTTGATTGTTTAATTTCAAATCCATTGTGGTGGCGTACAGATCCAAAATGATGCAAATTGTGTCACTGTCCAAATACTTATGGACCTGACTGTATGTGACCAGGCTACTTAACATGGTTGCTATTCCATTATGAGAAAAGCAGAAACCTTCAAATGTCTGTAAGTCATGAAAATGTATTAAAATGAATCCCAGGGACATGCAGCTTAAAGCATCACTACCAGCAGCTACATATATTCACATGAATCTACTACTGTAACTGTACATCCATGTCCAAGCCACTATAGTCACACTGTGTCCTGTCCTGTCGCAACATGACTACTGTATCTGCAACCACACCTGTATATTGCTCTTTGTCACCATGGCTACAGGGTTTATGGCCATACTGGAGTAAACTACAAGCTGCTGTTATCAAGGGCTGAACCTCCGAACAACCACTCAGCCTTTTACTGAGTGATCAGAGCAGTAGAAGTGGTGGGTTGGAGATTCAGCCAAGGAATACCATTCTAGCTGTGGAGGCTGGTGGGAGGAGCTACAGGAGGACAGGCTCATTGTAATGGCTGAAATGGAGTTAATGGAATGGAGTTTAACATGTGGTTTCCATTTGTTTGATGTGTTTGATACCATTCCATTTACTCCATTCCAGCCATTACAATGAGCCTGTCCTCCTATAGCTCCTCCCACCAGCCTCCTCTGCATTCTAGGCATATATATACACATGTGGATTAGGTGTAGGTCTCTTGTCATTGCAGCTAGAAAATGTCACTCTAATGCAGTCTGTCCAGACATTTAAACATCACATCTTGTATTTCCCCATTCTGTCTCTGTCAGAGATGTTAAGACACATCCATTAGACTACATCCTGTCAAAGTGTCAACATCTCTTTAAGACTTTCATTTTCTGAATATTATTTTTTTTTACTGCAGTGTTCAATGTCCAACAGCTTTTCCTTCCTATCACAATAAAGGCTTTTATCTGTGTATTACCCCATACCGTATCATAGTATACTGAACAAATGTTACTGAGTTACAGTTCATATAAGGAAGTCAGTCAATTTAAATAAATAAATTAGGCCCTAATGGACATAGGCCCACCCAAGGGGGATCCAGGCCCAGCCAATCAGAATGAGTTTTTCCCCACAAAAGGGCTTTATTACAAACAGAAATACTCCTCAGACTGATCAACTGAAAGGTCTCTCTGTCAGCTTTGCCATTTTTCTCTTCTTTCAGTTAGCCGTTGCTATGGAAAGGCTGCATTCTTCACATGTTCTGTGTTTTATATACATATCTGTGTCATCCTTTACTTTTCTGTTGTTTCTAGTCTCTGTCTCCGGCTCCTCCTCTCTCTCGGGGTCCGAGCCCGCCTCCCCTTCTTCCCCTCTCTTTCACGCCGGCCCCTCCCACCACCCTCCTCCACCCATCACACCCCCCAAGGCCGACCCCCCTCTGCACCCCCCGAAGCCAGCCGGCGGCCATCATGCTTTCTGTGACCACACCCCTCGACGACAGTCCACCAATAGTAATGCTCCTCTGCACCACGTGCGGCCAATGGCATGGTGTGGTGTGCGTGACTCACTGCCCAATCACAACAATACTTGCTGAGTGTGCATTTTTTAACTCGTCCAAAATGGCACCCTATTCCCTACATAGTGCACTAGTTTAGACCCTAGTATAGTGCACTATATAGGCAATGGGGTGCCATTTAGAAACTGACTGAACTGATTAAGCCCTAGATACAGTAGTTGTAGTGTACTAGTGTTCTGGGCTGTGGTGGGGTGTGTGTTCTATGTATAGTTCCTTAACAGTGCTAAAAACCATGCTGGAAAGGACAAGGTGAAAACATATCCTAGCCAGCCAGCACAATATGATTTGGGTTAGCCTAATAGTGAGTCAGGTGTGTCCCGTCCTGTGGGCCTAACGGGATCCTGTCAGCCTATCACCATCCCATCGCCACGGAGACACTGAGAGGGCGACGTTAAGTCCCTAATCTGCCTGAGTGGCTGCCCCGTCCGGCTTAGACTGAATGAGTCAGCAGACACTGAGGATATGAGAAGGAAAGAGAGAAAGAAAGAGTGAAAGAGAGGTGAACGAACGGCCCCGTATCTATCTATCTGACTGACTGGGTTTTAAGACCGACTGGGGTTCACTTGTTCTATGGTCTTCTCTGTTACCAGCCACAGACAAAGAGGATGAAACAACAACCTCTGACAAACAAGATGTCAGTTCAGTTGGCATGGAGTTTGTATGTTTTGGGGTTAACAAAGGAAGTGTAGTATACAGAGTGTGAGGAGAGGTTCCGGTTAGGCACTAGAACTACAGGTAAACTCAGGGAGAACCCACCCGCACTCGCTCAGGCACGCTCACCCTCCACACACACGTCACAGTATTTCCTGTTCTGTTCTCTCCTCTATCTAGCTCTCTTGTGTCCCTTGGCTTTCTCTTTCTATTCATCACTCTGTTCATTTGTCCTTTGGTGTTCCACTATCTTTCCCCCGCCACCTTCCGTTGTACCATTATGTTTTACTGCTAGATAAAGGGTTGGATTGAGGCACTTCAAGTAACCACAGTGTATTTACAACTGCAATAGAGGTCTAAGGTTTTTGTGTTTGCCACCATAACGTGTTTAATGTTTAAATAAGGAACATGATGAAGGTGATTAGGGAAGGAAAAGCTTGCACTGCAGCCTCAACCTTTGTCAATGGTGGCAATAGCAACTACAAAAACTTGCAGGGGTGAAACAGTTTAGGATGGATTGGATTGACACATTGATAGTGAATCATTGTGTGGATCCATTTTCACTGGCACTAACTTAGCATAAATAATTTCAGCATTCACTAATGTTAGTGTCTTTTGAAATGTTCCCGCTAAGTATACTTCAGTTTTGTTGTTGAGTGGAAGTGATTTAAGTTTTCTCCTAGCTGTATCTTTTAATTTTCCCTCTTTAATTAATTTTCTCTTAAGTAATCTTTGTTCTTTGTTGTTTGTTGTTGATTTGTTATTTTAAAGGCAGCCCTCCAGATGCTAACTTTCATCAGTATCATGGTTTTTACTCCATGTTTTCAGTTTGTAAGTAGCGCTTTTCTCCCTCCGCTCCCTCTCTCTTTGCCCACTGAGACGCTGGACTCTGACTGATGTATCACTCCTCCTGGCCTTGGCCTGATTTTTCCTCCACAGTCAATGTATCCATCCGTCACCAGCAACCACCTGCCTGTCCCTCTGTCTGTCTGTGCTCCTAAAGTCAGTCAGTCATCCACCATGTGTGGAACGTACCGGAGGCTGTCCTGTCGCTACTCGCTAGCTCACCTTATTTTCTGTTTTGTTTTTTTGTTTTATTTATTTATTTTTGTCCTCAGGCCCTTTGTGCTACAGCTGAACAATTAGCTCACTGAGCTTCCTGACTCGGTGGGCCAGCTATGGAGTAGGCAGCTCCATAATTAAAGAGGCAGTATCATTTCCCCTGGCTGGCTGCTCTACCAGACACACAGCCTTATTGTATAGGCTCCCTCCACCATACAATACAGAGCTCATTAGCCAGACCAGTCCCAGACGGGCTAGCTGTGTTTGTTTTTTCATTTCTCATTTTATTTGCGTTAGTTATGGAGCTATCTGATGGAGCCGGTCAGTCAAAAGGACAATGTTGTCCATGACTGACTGTTGTGTTGTGGAGACCAGTCAGTTTCACTGCTGGGCCTCTAGGCTTTCACAGACTATTAATAGGTTTCCTTTAAGCTTCCCTGACAGATAACATACAAAGGCCACTCTCTTTTCATACGGCCACATACGGCCAGCCCGGTGTTCTTTGACATTCTCTTGGACTTCACTAGAAACAAAACAGAAGAGGAGAATGGATGAGGAGGAAGCAGCTCTGTGCTCTCAAGCCCCGGTGAAATGGATACTGTTTCTTTAAGAACGTGTAGATTCTTTCTGTGCTGCTGTGAACTGAAAACCCACCTTCCACATCGCTCCCCATCAGTGCCTTGCGCTTTGTACCTTGCATGAAGGCACTTTTGTCTACCCTTTTAGGCCGCTGTGTGTGCGTGTGTGTGAGAGAGTGTTTGTGTAATTCTTTCCTAACTGCATGGATTACCATTTTCACTCATCCAGGTTAAGATTACACCGGTTTAATCCAGGCTTAATTTGACCCAGTCACCTGCTGTGGGTGCCATTTAATTGACTTAACTGGATAAAAATAGTATCTACAGCCTGCTTGGTGATACAGCCGTCTGTCTTGATGGTACAGCTCCTGGTGCTCTTTCTTGATCTATTCAGGGACCTTTTAAGCCAATCAATCCCTCCACTCAACAGGGTGTTCCTTCCTTCTGCGATAAACCTTCTTCAGCCATATCATATTGGTGTGGCCATAGAAATAGAATGACTAGAACAGGTAAAGCCCTTCAGACCATGCCAATACGCTCAATATGGCTGACATGGTCTTTGGCTATGGAGTTCCATGGTTGACGCTGATTGCATCACAAATGGCACCCTATTCCCTATATAGTACAATACTTTGAACAGAGCCGGTGTCTCCAGTCTGCATGCTAAATGTGGGAGCTAGGGCTGAGACTGGGGCTCTGTAGGCTTAGTGCTGCTGTGAGGGAGGGAAGGGTATCGATCTCAGGGACTGAGTCCCAAATGGCACCCTATTCTCTTTATAGTGCACTACTTTTGACCAGAGTACATAGGGCTCTGATCAAAAGTAGAGCACTATATATGGAATAGGATGCAATTTGGGACACTGACAGGGTTTTTAGATGCATACTGTGTGACTGTCGCTTCAGTCAATAATCAGGGAGCCAGAGAGAAAGCAAAAGTGTTATTTTTCTGATATGAGGAGAGACTAGAGAAGAGTGAAGCCGTTTGATGTGAAAGGCTGCCTGCCTGCCTGTAATCCTGTGTGCAGTGGGGTGGGTGTTCAGAGAGACAGAGTGAAGGATGTGTAGTGGTAGGAGAGAGAGTGCTTAGAGGAGTTACTGTGTTCAGATCATAGAGCTATAACATATAGAACGTTATATGTATGGTTGAGATTGTGTTCATCACTAGTGTGTTGAGGTAATAATAGGAGTCAGTGTTGTGTTTTATGGGCAGTCGGTAGTAAAGGTGAGTGAAGTGTGTTGAGGAGAAGAGTGCGTGTTAAAGCGTTCATATGGACAGTAGATGGATGTTACTAGTTGTTAAAGGTTCTATAGCGTAAAAGAGTCACTTAGCTCCAGTATGCAGAAAGTGTGTGTGTGTGTGTGTGTGTGTGTGTGTGAGAGAGAGTGTGAGAGTGAGAGAGTGAGAAGTGATTGTGTGTGTGTGCCTCACCAAAAAGCCTGCCATGCAGATAGAGAACCCAGAGACTGATTCCTATTCCCATTTCAGCTTAAACACAAGTCAAATCTCGCAAGACTTTATCAAAAACATCTCTCTATAGCCAGGGATATTTTCTCTCCCCCCTAAATCGCGGGACTTTTCTTTGCCCCGGCGCTTTCACTAGATCTTCTTGACAGGATTTGAAGATAGGGAGCATTTGTGCTTTAATCTAAAGCTCTTTGAGGCCAATAATGAAAGCTCTCTCGCTCTTTAGAGCCGGGGAAAGTAGTTTCCACTCCAAATAGTATTTTCAACCAACTCCAGTCCCAAATGTAAAGCAGTTGGCCTAGTTTGTACAGCTACAGCCAGGTTATTGTACATCTATACATCTGGATATGTGAATCAGTGGTTTGCAAGGATAACAGACAGTTAATAACTACTGACTTAGTAACGCTGCCTGTCACTAGTAGCCTATACAGTGCATTCGGAAAGTATTCAGACCCCTTGACTTTTTCCACATTTTGTTACGTTACAACCTTATTTTAAAATGCATTAAATTTGTTTTTTTCCTCATCAATCTACAAACAATACCCCATAATGACAAAGCAAAAACAGGTTTTCAGAAATGTTTGCAAATTTATAAAAAAATTAAATAAGTATAAGTATTCAGATCCTTTACTGAGTACTTTTACTGAGTACTTTGTTAAAGCACCTTTGGCAGTGATTACAGCATAGAGTCTTCTTGGGTATAACGCTACAAGCTTGGCACACCTGTATTTGGAGAGTTTCTTTCATTCCTCTCTGCAGATCCTCTCAAGCTCTGTCAGGTTGGATGGGGAGTGTCACTGCACAGCTATTTTCAGGTCTCTCCAGAGATGTTCGACTGGGTTCAAGTCTGGGCTCTGGCTGGGCCACTCAAGGACATTCAGAGACTTGTCCCGAAGCCACTCCTGCGTTGTCTTGGCTGTGTGCTTTGGGTTGTTGTCCTGTTGGAAGTTGAACCTTCGCCCCAGTTTGAGGTCCTGAGTGCTCTGGGGCATGTTGTTATCAAGGATCTCTCTGTACTTTGCTCCGTTCATCTTTCCCTCGATCCTGACTAGTCTCCCAGTCCCTACCGCTGAAAATAATCCCCACAGCATGATGCTGCCACCACCATGCTTCACCGTAGGGATGGTGCCAGGTTTCCTCCAGACGTGATGCTAGGCATTCAGGCCAAAGAGTTTAATCTTGGTTTCATCAGACCAGAGAATCTTGTTTCTCATGGTCTGAGAGTCCTTTAGGTGCCTTTTGGCAAACTTCAAGTGGGCTGACATGTGCCTTTTACTGAGGAGTGGCTTCTGTCTGGCCACTCTACCATAAAGGCCTGATTGGTGGAGTGCTGCAGAGATGGCTGTCCTTCTCGAAGGTTCTCCCATCTCCACAGAGGAACTCTGGATCTCTGTCAGTTTGACCATCGGGTTCTTGTTCAACTCCCTGACCAAGGCCCTTCTCCCCCGATTTCTCAGTTTGGCCGGGAGGCCAGCTCTAGGAAGAGTCTTGGTGGTTCCAAACTTCTTCCATTTAAGAATGATGGAGGCCACTGTGTTCTTGGGGACCTTCAATGCTGCATACATTATTTGGTACCCTTCCCCAGATCTGTGCCTCAACACAATCCTGTCTCAGAGTTCTACGGACAATTCCTTCATGGCTTGGTTTTTGGTCTGACATGCATTGTCAACTGTGGGACCTTATATAGACAGGTGTGTGCCTTTCCAAATCATTGAAATGAATCTACCACAGGTGGACTCCAATCAAGTTGTAGAAACATCTCAAGGATGATCAATGGAAACAGGATGCACCTGAGGTCAATTTTGAGTCTCATAGCGAAGGGTCTGAATATATATGTAAATAAGGTATTTCGTTTTTTTTTTTTTTTTTTTTGCATGAATTTCTAAAAACCTGTTTTCAGGTTAAGAATAAGGCTCTAACGTAACAAAATGTGGAAAAAGTCAAGAGGTCTGAATACTTTCCAAATGCACTGTATAACATGAAGCTTTTTGTCAAGGCATGAAGTCATCCGTGTGTGAAGTTTTGTGCAGCTAATGTCCTGAACGATGGATGCAGAATGAGTGGAGTAACGTTAGCCTGCAGTTGCATCCTTTACCATGAGGAGGCGCTGGTGCTGCTGTGCTGATCCCCTCTTCTCCCCTGTCGTCCTCTCCTCCTCCCCCTCTCTCTGCAGGCTCGGTCCACGCCACATCCATGGCGGCGTCACGGGTGGAACAGGCCCTGTCAGAGGTGGCCTCCTCCATGCAGAGCAGTGCCCCCAAACATGGACCCCTACACCCCTGGATGACTCTGGCCCAGATCTGGCTCCACGCAGGTATGGTAGTACACTACACCTCTGTAACACACCACTATGGTAGTACACTACACCTCTATAACACACACTATGGTAGTACACTACACCTCTGTAACACACCACTATGGTAGTACACTACACCTCTTAACACACCACTATGGTAGTACACTACACCTCTTAACACACCACTATGGTAGTACACACACCTCTGTAACACACCACTATGGTAGTACACTACACCTCTTAACACACCACTATGGTAGTACACTACACCTCTTAACACCACCACTATGGTAGTACACTACACCTCTATAACACACCACTATGGTAGTACACTACACCTCTTAACACACCACTATGGTAGTACACTACACCTCTGTAACACACAACTATGGTAGTACACTACACCTCTGTAACACACCACTATGGTAGTACACTACACCTCTATAACACACACTATGGTAGTACACTACACCTCTATAACACACCACTATGGTAGTACACTACACCTCTATAACACACCACTATGGTAGTACACTACACCTCTATAACACACCACTATGGTAGTACACTACACCTCTATAACACACCACTATGGTAGTACACTACACCTCTATAACACACCACTATGGTAGTACACTACACCTCTGTAACACACCACTATGGTAGTACACTACACCTCTGTAACACACCACTATGGTAGTACACTACACCTCTATAACACACAACTATGGTAGTACACTACACCTCTATAACACACAACTATGGTAGTACACTACACCTCTGTAACACACAACTATGGTAGTACACTACACCTCTGTAACACACAACTATGGTAGTACACTACACCTCTATAACACACCACTATGGTAGTACACTACACCTCTATAACACACCACTATGGTAGTACACTACACCTCTGTAACACACCACTATGGTAGTACACTACACCTCTATAACACACCACTATGGTAGTACACTACACCTCATGTATACACACCACTATGTAGTACACTGAATCTTATAACACCCATATGGTAGTAACTACACTCTGTGACAGCAATATGGGTAGTACATACACTGCTGTTATAACACCATACTGGTAGTACACTACACCTCTATAACAAACTTAGGTAGTCCACTTTAACAACATATCCAGTAACACACTATGTGTTTAGTACCTTTGAACCTATAACACACCACACTGTGTAGTACTTCTATACACACCGCTTGTAGTACCACACCTGTATAACACACACTATGGGTAGTACACTACAGCCTCTATAATCACCTATGGTAGTACATACACTCTGACAACTGGTAGACATAACCATAACACCCTAGGTAGACACTACACTCTGTGAAACCCATATGGAGTCCTAACCTGAAACTAGGTAGACACTACCATACAACACTAGGAGACACACACCTCTGACGCATATGGTGACATACACCTTATGACACACAACTATGGTATGATCACTACACCTGATAAACACCAGCTGGTAGTCAACACCTCGTAACACAGCCTATGGTAGTACATCACCCTGGTAAGACACACTATGGTAGAGGGATCATTGTGACAACACATGGTACAGTTATCCAGAATGATATCCTCGAGTAGTGTGTGTGTATGTGTGTGCACTTGTGTTCATGCATGTGTGTGGTGTTAGTGATTGGCAGGGTGTGTGTGGGAGTGGTAATCCATTGACTCAAGGGAGGTGGGGTAGCAGACAGCAGCTTAATGGAATCGATATGTTCCTGTGAGGTGGTCTGACTGTTAAGCATGAACATATCCCAGGTAGGGCCTCCTGGACTGCTGCTGCTGCCTTTCATTTGGATTCCTCCTGTGATGGGTGGGAACATACACACACACACACACACTGACTGCTTTATTTGGTCAATATCCTTATTGCCGGCCTTGCTTAGATACTCACACTGATAATAACACCAAGGGGACGTCACCTCCTAATAAAACTGCCTCTCTTTGAATCAGCTCTGAGAGAGAGGGAGATAAAATGATGGGGGGGAGAGGAGAGGGAGGCATTGTGAGAGGAGAGGGAGAGAGAAGGAAATGGGGTGAGAGAAAAAGGGGGAAGGCAGGTAGAGAGAAGAAGAGAGAGGAGAGAGAAAAATGGGGAGAATGCAAGTAGAGGGAAGACAAGAGAGGGAGGGGGAGAGAGAAGGAGGGGGATGCAGGGAGAGGGAGATAAATCCGCTCCTTCTCTCACTGCAGAGCATTGAAATGCTAGAAGCAGAGGCCAGAGCAGAGCATGGTCCCCTCCCTCCCTCAGCCAGCTGCTACTGCCTGCCTATCTAGTAGTGCTGCTGAGGCTTTGTGAACCAACCCCAAACAGTCTCGTACACACGCTGCTGGAGGCTGAGCAGGGCTGTTGCGTTCCATGAAAATGTTCCAAAATGCCAGAGAATGGAGAGATGGGGGATGGTGTCCTGGATATAACCTCCTTTCTCTGGGACCAACAAATGAGGACAGCACTGGAGGCTTAGCTGGCTGCACAGAGAACAGCCTGCCTGGAGACACACACAGACACAGCCATACATAGACACACACAGACACACACATCCATACACACACAGACATACAGAAACACAGGGACAGTTTTGCACAATCAGACTCACACACACACACATCAGTGCGACTTTAAGGTCATGTTTGCTCATATCATAGTTTTTCAGCTATTTCACCCAAAGGGAAGACAATGAGGAGACATGATATGATCTTTGGATAGAAGTCTGTTTTCTTGCTTTTGGAAAACTCACTTTCAAGTCTGTCTATGTAATCTATGGGCTTTATTTTAAGTCCCTATTTGCAAAGCAATAAGGTGTGTGTGTGTGTGTGTGTGTGTGTAAATGTTTATCAGTCTGGCTGCCACCTGCTAGAAGCTCTCATTTCCTATTGATGAAATCATTAAGACAGAATACAGCAATCACCCCTCTGGTCTGTTATTTGTGTCAGTGTGTCACCTCACGGTCCTCCTCTCCCCTATCTACTTTCTCTCTCTCTCCCTCCCCTATCGCTTTCTCTCTCTCTAGCGGAGGTGTACATTGGCATGGGCAAGCCTGCGGAGGCGACGGCCTGCACCCAGGAGGCTGCCAACCTGTTCCCCATGTCCCACAACGTGCTGTTTATGCGGGGCCAGGTGGCTGAGCTGCGGGGCAACGTGGACGAGGCCAAACGATGGTACGAGGAGGCCCTCTCCATCAGCCCCACCCACGTCAAGACCATGCAAAGACTGGTGAGTCTCTCTCTTCTTTTCCCGTCTTCTCTTGTATCTCTCTCTCTCTCTCTCTCTCTCCATCATCAGCCCTACCCACGTCAAGACTATGAGGAGACTAGTGAGTCCTGGACCTCTTCATCCCTCCCTTCACATCTGTTCTGTTCTCTCTCTCTCTTCTCTCCCGTCTCTTCTCTTCCCTTCTACTGCCACGCCAACCATGTAGTCTGACAGCTGACATTCAGTCCCATATCCATAGTGCCTCCCAGTCATATAGCTCCCATAGAGTTACTCTCTCAGGTCATAGTGAAGTGGTACAGAGGGGGGAAGCCCATTGTTACTGTAACACTGTAAACCTCCATGCTGCTTGCTCATCACTTTGAAAGGAGAGACTGCAGGTCTGACTCATGCTGTTAGCAGATTAACTTTTCTTTCTGTTCCCCAGCCTTTATTGTTTTTATTACAAATGAGACACTTTGGGGATGAAAAGGCTGCATTGAGCCTAATGAAACGGGCCTTTTGGAGGAGAAGGAGGGAGAGAGATACCGAGAAAGAGAGAGCACAAGAACAAGAGACACAGCATCTCTCTATCTGATGAGCTCATAGTAGAAACCCAATTATGGAAATTGGAAATGGAAGCTTGTGATTGGTTGGTGGTGAATACAGAATAAACCCAGAAGAACCCACCACATTGTGCTGTGTCAGCACCTCAAGCAGGGAGATTTTCCAATCGGATCCTTTTTTTAAATTAGCTCTTTCTCTCTCTCGCTTTTTCTCTCTCTCGCTCGCTCTTTCTTGCTCTCTCTCTCTCATACTGTACAGCTTGGAGCAAAAGTGAAACGTTTAGAGCTTCTCTACTGTGTTGTGCAGTCCAGCTAGAATGGAATAATGCATGGGGCTATGGTAGAGAACTGTCTTAATGTGTGTGCCTATTCACTCAACTGTGTGTGCGCTTGCGTGCCTGCGGATCTGTGTCCTCAGGAAGAGATGATGCTGAGACAGGAACAGGATTAGTCAGAGAGCAGAGCAGCTTATTGACCAAGACCTGATTTGTGTTCTCTGCTGAAAACACTATTCTCTTCTCTCTGTGTTCCGTTTCCCAGTTCAAAGTCTCTGCTTTAACTGTGTTCTAGTAGAAAGACAGTGCTCCTGTATCCTGCTGAAAATTAAGTATAAAAATGTGTGTCTGTTTTAAAAGCCTTACTTTGTCTTTTACTCCAAGTAAGCTAATCACTGAGTGGAAACCTCCTTCCAAAACCTATTGAATTATAAATTAGCCTCTTTCTTATAGAGGAACACTAAGGAGAGCAGTCCTGACTCCCGCCGTAATGGACACACACACACACCATTTTTTGAGTCCCTTACTGAGCTGAATAGTGGAGCCCCGTCCCTCTGACTGTAGTTTGTGTTGTGATGGTGACTGGACAAGTTTGTGTTGTGGTGGTGTGATGATGACTGGACTGGTTTGTGTTGTGATGGTGACTGGACAAGTTTGTGTTGTGGTGGTGTGATGATGACTGGACTAGTTTGTGTTGTGATGATGACTGGACAAGTTTGTGTTGTGGTGGTGTGATGATGACTGGACTAGTTTGTGTTGTGATGATGACTGGACTAGTTTGTGTTGTGGTGGTGTGATGATGACTGGACTAGTTTGTGTTGTGGTGGTGTGATGATGACTGGACTAGTTTGTGTTGTGGTGGTGTGATGATGACTGGACTAGTTTGTGTTGTGGTGGTGTGATGGTGACTGGACTAGTTTGTGTTGTGGCTGTGTGATGGTGACTCACTGTACTAGTTTGTGACTGGTGTGATGGTGACTGGACTAGTTTGCCTGGTGTGATGGATGGCGTTGGGTGCAGTGTTTGATGGCTGCTGGGTGGTGGGATTGTTCCGCCGTGCATTGCATTGGCGTCGTGTCTGGGATGCACAGTGTCGTTTGTCAGTCAGACTGTTTGTCAGAGCTGATAAAGCGACGTGGTAATGGGTCTGGCACACTGTATGGATTTATACACACTGTCCCTCTGTTCCCTCTCTCCATCTCTCCATCCACCCCTCTGCCCTGACAGGCCACTTTGTGGAGGGCTGTGCATCACTCCACCACTCTGACTAATGAACGGAAAGCGAGAGAGAGAGAGACACGAATAGGGATGGAGCGAGAGCGCAAGAGAGAGCGCAAGAGAGCGGGAGAGAGAGGGAGGGAGAGAATCCAGAGGGTTCTGCTAATACATCTGTGACTTCTAGACTGGATCAAACAGAATCAGCCTGAGGCTTAGAGACTCCTCTCCTCTCCACATTTCATTCCTCAAATCTTCCCTCCACTTTTCATGAACTATTCATTTCCTCTCCGGACTGGCTACGACCATACTGTCCTTGGATCTACTATGCCTGTCCGTGTGGTAACACATATTAGTGTTGCACGGTATACCGAAACTTGATAAACGGTTTATTTTGAGATTTTTTTTACAACTATCGGTACTTCTGTCAAATGTGTCTCATGTCGTCTACTGATTGAGGGAGGATCAAGTCTATCAGCACAGCAGAAGTCTCCACCGTGCCTGTTCTGTGCCTGCTCCATTTACTCATTGCTAGCTCTAGCCTGTCCTGAGGAGCCACTGCACTCACTGGGAGTCTGGGCTGCATCACCACTCATGCTGCACAGAAGTTAACACACTTCGATAAGGCAACACAGCATGTAGAAATATTGAAACTGTTAATTACTGTTAACAAAACGATGTCCATTACAGGCTGGAACACTTTACAATGCAAGAAGATACGAGTAGCTTCTAGCTTTGTAGGCTAACTTTCCATCAATTCACTACCCTAGTACCTTGTTTTGGATAATATGCAAACCACAATGCAAAATATTGCTGATTTCAAAGCTGATTGTGACCCAAAACCTTTTTCATTCACTTCGTCTCCCCCGCCTCACATCTCTTCCAGTCAAGATAATATTTGCTCATGGCTTGAACTGTGTTTGTGAATGACGTCATGGGTCTTGAAGCGACAGCGCACACTTTTATAAAATAGATTGCTTCTTCTATGCAAATGTTATTGATCAGTACAATAAAATAAGTCCCAAATAGAAGGGAAACAGATTGTTTTTCATCTGTAGCCCCATGAAATCAGCCAAAACAAGCTCAATAACTCAATGCATGCACACACTCCTATTGAATATGCATTCACCTGTATTGTAAATAGGCCTAGGCTGCATCCTGATTTACCCAGTTTATCAATAGAGATTTACCATTCAAATAAATTATTACCGTTATGTAGTTAGATTGGTTAAAAAAAACAAGTCAAATTGATTGTATAATTGATTCATTAATTCATACATTCAAAAATGTCAAAGGTAATGATATTGAACTTAAAAGATATATCTGGATCAAGTTCCATTCTGTGACTTTGGCTAATACCCCTTTCTTTTTTTTCCCCCTGGTATTGTTTTTTGGTATCCAGTATCGTGATGGTATCGAGTATCATGGTACTAAATCTGGTATCGGTATTGAAGTCAAAATGCTGGTATTGCGACAACACTAACACAGATCCTGTTCCCACAACTAGTCTGTGTTACTGAGCTCTGTGATAGGCATAGACGGGCTTATCTAGTGATGGTGCTGCATATCTTCCAGTTTGGTGGTGGTATTATACGGGTTGTGTTGCTCCATTAATGCTAGCTTGCTGGGAACCACCACTTGATAGATCAGGTTGCAGTGGTATCAGTTGAGCTGTTGCTTTAGCAGCAGATGAGTCAGCTGTTTTACATTGTTGGGACCAGACCAGTAGTTTGATGCTGTAGCAGTGGTGTGTGTCAGCGCTTTGATGCTATAGGACAGTTATTAGATGTAGTTACCACTGTTTCTTCTGAGAAGATGCCAACGATGCACCGCACTGGTAGCAGCAGCCAGCAACTTTTTAATGGTGTTAATGCAGCAGATAATGGTGCAAGGACTTTTACTCCTTCTTTATTCTATCCCTCTCTCTTTCTCTTTCTCTCTCTCTCTCTCCATCTCAAATTTTTCCACTTAAATGGAGTTGGTGTTAATGCGGCAATGGCAGGGCCCAGACTTCTTCTCCTCTTATTTCTGTATTCTCTCTTTCCTTTTCACTCCATATCCCTCTCTCTATCTATGGCATTTCCCAGGGGTGTCTGTCTCTGGCTGCAGTGCCAGTCCTGCTCCCCCCCCCCCCCCCACACACACACTTTTGAGTAATTAAGCAGCGTAGCAGCTCAGAGCAGCTTGCTGCGGCCGGGGCCACAGCCGCACATCACTCTGTGTCAGTTCTGCTGTATCTGAGCTTTTCATTTTGGATTTTATTTTGGCGTCTGTCTCGTTGGTCTCAGCAATAAGCAGGCTTGTCACATCTCAACAGCCTGTCAGCTCGGGGGACGGGGAGCGACGGGGGGCACACAAACACATACACACACACACCTCTGTCTGTCTTTCTGTCATTCAGTCAGAGTGCGGTGGAGGGGTGCAGAGTCACAGGGTGGAGCCCCTTCCTCGGACAGGAGATGGCTCTCCCTGGCCCCTAACTGTGCTGACTGCTCTCTTCTCTCTCTCGCTCTCTCTATTTCCCTCTCTCTCTCTCTCTCTTTCTCTCTCCTCTCTCTTTTTCTCTCTACTCTCTCTCTCTCCCTCTCTCTCTCTTTGTGTGTGTCTCTGTGTGTTTGTCTCTGTCTGTTTGAGCCCGTTTCTCTCCATGAAGCCTTGGGGAAAGAGCCTCAAGGTTACTCTGTGAAGGATTTAGCTATCTGCTGTAGCGACAATGGCTGACCTTTTTGTGTTAGTTTAACAGTTACTTAGCCTGGTTTTTAAAGGCTGGCCGCTTTGAGAAGTTAATTGAAAGGATGAGATTACATGAGTGTAGGATGTGACTAAATGGAGTGTGTGATTGTACAGTTCACTCTGTGTGTGTGTGTGTGTGTGTGTGTGTGTGTGTGTGTGTGTGTCACTAGGACGGAGTCAGCTGGGCAGTGATAAACAGAAGGGTTTAGACTGACTCCTCTCTCTGAGTCAGTGTTACAGACTGTAAAGCTCTCCCCCTCTCTCTCTCCCTCCCTCTCTCGCTCCCCCTCTCCCCTCTCTCTCTCTCCCACTCTCTCTCCCTCCCTCTCTCTCTCTCCCTCTTTCCTAGGGTCTGATCCTGCACCAGCTGCAGCGATACAGCCTGGCAGAGAACATCTTTCACCCCCCTTTCTCACTCCTTCATTATGTCACTCACACACTCCATCTCTCTCCCTCTCTTCTAGGGTCTGATCCTGCACCAGCTGCAGCGGTACAGCCTGGCAGAGAAGATCCTTCGGGACGCGGTGCAGGTGAACTCGACGGCCCACGACGTGTGGAACAGCCTGGGGGAGGTGCTGCAGGCTCAGGGCAACGCTGCCGCCGCTACAGAGTGTTTCCTTACCGCCCTGGAGCTAGAGGCCTCCAGCCCCATATTGCCCTTCACCATCATACCACGACAACTCTGACCTGGGAGAGACGCACACACACACACACACACGCACACACATATTATATATATATATATATATATATATATATATATATATATATATATATATATATATATATATATACACACACATACACACACACACACACAAGCTGCTTTATCCCCTCCAGTGTGAAGGTGCCAAAAACCTTCCTCCTACCTACCACCTCCTGCTTTCAGGCCTCTTTGCTGTCAGAACCACCACCAACATCCACCCTGTGATGCCTCAGGCCCACCTCTTTCATCCCAATGAGATTGGACAACTACCTCTCTCCTCTTGAGGCCATTCATAGGCCTAGCTAAATGAGCTGGAGGGAGGTAGTGACCATGGACAAAAAAAAACGAACACTGACAGAACAGAATTCTCTATCTGGTCCAATAATGTACATCAATGTGACTGTTGTTGCCATGCCAACACCGATGTGCTGTCCCCGCCCCCTAGTCTATGCTGTGACCAATGTATCGTATCCCACAATCCCTTGCTGTGCCTGACTATGACTCCTGCACTCCAGCCTTTATCTAATCTACACTGAACAAAAATATAAACGCAACATGCAAAGTGTTGGTCCCAGGTTTCATGATCTGAAATGAAGATACCAGAAATGCTTATTTCTCTCAAATTTGGTGAACAAATTTGTTTACATCCCCTGTTAGTGAGCATTTTTCCTTTGCCAAGATAATCCATCCACCTGACGTGTGGCATATCAAGAAGCTGATTAAACAGCATGATCATTACACAGGTGCACCTTGTGCTGGGGACAATAAAAGGCCACTCTAAAAAGTGCAGTTTAGTCACACAACACAATGACACAGATGTCTCAAGTTTTGAGGGAGTGTGCAATTGGCATGCTGACTGCAGGAATGTCCACCAGAGCTGTTGCCAGAGAATTGAATGTTCATTTCTCTACCATAAGCCGCCTCCAACGTTGATTTAGAGAATTTGGCAGTACGTCTTACCGGCCTCACAACCGCAGACCACGTGTAACCACTCCAGCCCAGGACCTCCACATCCGGCATCTTCACCACCCACCTGATGAAACTGAGGAGTATTTATGTTTGTAATAAAGCTTTTTTGTGGGGGAAAACAAATTCTGATCGGCTGAGCCTGGCTCCCCAGTGGGTGGGCCTGGCTCCCAAGTGGGTGGACCTATGCCCTCCCAAGCCCACCCATGGCTGCGCCCCTGCCCAATCATGTGAAATCCATAGATTAGGGCCTAATGAATTCATTTAAATTGACTGATTTCCTAATATGAACTGTAACTCAGTAAAATCGTTGTTGTATGTTGCATTTATATTTTTGTTCAGTGTATACACTACCGGTCAATTTTTTTTGAACACCTACTCATTCAAGGGTTTTTCTTAGTTTTTACTATTTTCTACATTGTAGAATAATAGTGAAGACATCAAAACTATGAAATAACACATATGGAATCATGTAGTAACCAAAAAATATATATATTTTATATTTGAGATTCTTCAAATAGCCACCCTTTGCCTTGATGACAGCTTTGCACACTCTTGGCATTCTCTCAACCAGCTTCACCTGGAATGCTTTTCCAACAGTCTTGAAGGAGTTCCCACATATGCTGAGCACTTGTTGACTGCTTTTCCTTCACTCTGTGGTTCGACTCATCCCAAACCATCTCAATTTGGTTGAGGTAGGGGGATTGTGGAGGCCAGGTCATCTGATGCAGCACTCCATCACTCTCCTTCTTGGTAAAATAGCCCTTACACAGCCTGGAAGTGTGTTGGGTCATTGTCCTGTTGAAAAACAAATTATAGTCCCACTAAGCCCAAACCAGATGGGATGGTGTATCGCTGCATAATGCTGTGGTAGCCATGCTGGTTAAGTGTGCCTTGAATTATAAAATCACAGACAGTGTCACCAGCAAAGCACCCCCACACCATAACACCTCCTCCTCTATGCTTTACAGTGGGAAATACACATGCGGAGATCATCCGTTCACCCACACCGTGTCTCACAAAGACACAGCGGTTGGAACCAAAAATCTCAAATTTGGACTCCAGACCAAAGGACACATTTCCACCGGTCTAATGTCCATTGCTCGTGTTTCTTGGCCCAAGCAGGTCTCTTCTTATTATTGGTGTCCTTTAGTAGTGGGTTCTTTGCAGCAATTCGACCATGAAGGCCTGATTCACACAGTCTCCTCTGAACAGTTGATGTTGAGATGTGTCTGTTACTTGAACTCTGTGAAGCATTTATTTTGCTGCAATTTCTGAGGCTGGTAACTCTAATGAACTTATCCTCTGCAGCAGAGGTAACTGGGTCTTCCATTTCTGTGGCGGTCCTCATGAGAGCCAGTTTCGTCATAGCGCTTGATGGTTTTTGCGACTGCACTTGAATAAACGTTCAAAGTTGAAATGTTCCGTATTGACTGACCTTCATATCTTAAAGTAATGATGGACTGTAATTTCTCTTTGCTTATTTGAGCTGTTCTTGCCATAATATGGAGTTGGTATTTTACCAAATAGGGCTATCTTCTGTATACCCCCCCTATCTTGTCACAACACAACTGATTGGCTTAAACGCATTAAGGAAAGAAATTCCACTAATTAACTTTTAACAAGGCACACCTGTTAATTGAAATGCATTCCAGGTGACTACCTCATGAAGCTGGTTGAGAGACTGCCAAGATTGTGCAAAGCTGTCACCAAGGCAAAGGGTGGCTATTTGAAGAATCTCAAATATAAAATATATCTTGATATGTTTAACACTTTTTTGGTTACTACATGATTCCATATGTGTTTTTTCATAGCTTTGATGTCTTCACTATTATTCTACAATGTAGAAGGGAAAAACCCTTGAATGAGTAGGTGTTCTAAAACTTTTGACCAGTGGTGTATATGGTGGAAATCAGCGGGGAAGAGGCTACTCACTGATCCATCTATTTTCTCTGGCTGTTGATTGATGGGAGAGGAGACGGTCAGTACAGAGGGATTTTCAGGCAGACAGAGTTGCAGAGGTTTGCGTTCCAGATGACATGGACAATGTAGTGCTATGCTGCGGACAATGGCTGGCCACAGTGGTGCATACCATCACCCCCCCCACCTTGTCTGTGCTAGTGCATTGTTGTAGCTTTCAACCCCAACGATGCTGACTATGCTTAACTTGACAATGCTTGTATGTATGTACGGTATGCGTGTCTGTGCGTGTGTGTATATATGCACTTGTTTGTATGTGCGTTTGTACATTTGCGTGTTTAAAAGGCTTGTGGTTATTAGTTCATGGAGAAAAACTGTTAAAGAAGTTACACACTGTCACTTGAAAGATGTATATTTTATGGTGAAACTATAGTTTACATGATATCCCACACTCTGAGTGTGGAAGGCCTCACACACGTGTCATGAGGTTGTGTCCCTCTTGCTGTTCCTCTGCATCCCAAAATGAAACAGTTTAAAACGGGTGATGCTACTGTGTTTAAAATGAGCTCCTCCTCCTCGATAAACCTAATCAGATGCACCCAGTGGGTAGGTAGAACCGGAAACATCCGATTTTCAGGGATACAGTATCTTCAACTTAGCTTCCTTTTCCCCTGAAAACCGGATGTGGGGACCCCACTCAGGCATTTATTTTATGCCTGATATGTTGGGTTACATCAGATTGTTGTTATTTCAGTTACTGTAACCTTAAATCAGTTAGTTAGGTCACAAGCTCACTAAAGTGAATGCCAAAAACAGTGATTCTAAAACACTTAATGTCTTGTCTATGGATTCTTTCTGTCCAAAACAAAGAATATGAATATAGTTTTTGTTTGTTTTTCACATTACCTTTGATTATAAGTGCAGATGATTATTATTGTTATTATTCTGACTGATAATTATTAGCTGTTTATTATTTTAGACGTTTAAATGATATTTTACAGTGAATGACATTACTGAGGCATCACAAACACTGCAATATGTTTGTTTCTTTGGGTAGGTTGTACTTGAAGTATACAGCAGAGAGGATTTGACTGTTTAAGCTCAGTTATAGGGTCAATATATAAATGTTTCTAGTCTTCTGTAGTACCTCTCTGAATGCAGAATCTACCTAGCAACCACAATAGGAGCCTGCATGGCATGTCCCATTGTGAATGGCCAGTATGCCCCAGGCCTCTGGTTTGAAATGGTCCAACCAACAGCAGCATTGAGACAGCATGTCTGTGTGTGGGCCTATAGCACATATATGATACAACTGGACAAACTATAATGATGTCAATAAAAAGTGATTGGAATAAATACAGTGATGTAATATAAATGTGATCAGGTATGGTTATGTATCAGACACACAAACATTCAGTGTATCATCCATGTTGAGAATCCCTTGCCATTTGAAATACATCAGAGAGCACTACACTACTTGGGCCTGTTGTTACAGTAACTTCTAGTGATGCGAGACATTTCCAGGACTTCAGTGTTGCTGGAGTAAGAAGACGAAGGCCGTGTGTGTATCTGGGGATCTAGTTCTTTGTCTGCTCTGTTGTCTGTTCTGTAAAAGAAAGAGAAGAGCAGTCAGTCTGGATAAGAACAAACAGTCAGTCAGTCTCAACAGGGAATGAATGGCTTACATGTTAGATGGTGACGGCAGGGTGAGTTGCCTCTTGTTTAATTTCCCCTAACTTTTGTCTTTGAAGAAGAAAAGCCTCATCACCATTCATGAATATTGGATTTGTTACGTGTGTGTGTACGTACAGTGGGGGGAAAAAAGTATTTAGTCAGCCACCAATTGTGCAAGTTCTCCCACTTAAAAAGATGAGAGAGGCCTGTAATTTTCATCATAGGTACACGTCAACTATGACAGACAAATTGAGAAAAAAATCCAGAAAATCACATTGTAGGATTTTTTAATGAATTTATTTGCAAATTATGGTGGAAAATAAGTATTTGGTCAATAACAAA